CGCGTACTTCGGTTGACAAAATTATGATTTTTAATTTTTCTATGGGCAAAATTTTAAATAATTTTTGTTGTGCATGTGCTTGAGTGTGGATGTTTACCATAAACCCAATTTAATCTAGTTAAGATAGTAAAAGTCATTTGCTGATTTTATATGTATGTACATGCATACGTACATATATATGTAAGTATGTATGTGTTTATAATAATGAATCTTGGAAGAGAATTTTAGTTAATTACTATTGGCGGCAACTGAAGATTGCAGTCACGGGTTTTATAGCTCAGCCAACCGAAAACATACCGACTCAGCTGATACGAGCTTTCAGCAAAGATTATTAGATACGAAACTAACTTTTACTTAGGTTGACAGTAGTGTTAGATCGGGGAGTATTTAGCAGCTAATGAGCTAAACGCACCACTACCACTATGTCAATAAAAAAAAATCCATTGCTTTTGCTTAAGGGGTTACATATGGCCAAAAAAAAAGGCTTATTTTCTCTAATTTTTTTTAAGATACTAAGTAAAGTATACAATTCATTTTATTTACATATAAAAGTAAAATATGTGGACAACTTTTGATTAAAAATTTAATGAAAAATAGTATAACTTAAGGCGTTGGCAGTGTCGTGCAGTAGACCGTCCACTAGAGTGTTTTCGCTTTAGTCACGATAACTTTTTCAATTTTTATCTGATATAAAAAATCCACATTTTTTCTTAAAGTACGATAATTTTTCTTGTCCCTGAATGAAAAAAAATTAAAAAAATTAAAACTTGAGTTTTTGTAGCTTTTTTTTTTACAAAAAACGTAATTATTTCCCTAAAATTAGGCCACACGTTGGCTCGTAAAATGAGTTGATATCAAAGATAAAATAAATCGTTCGTTCTGCGACTACAAAAACATGCTTAAAAGAAGTGCGGAAAAATTGAAATCGATCGCTTCAATAGCCGTTGGGAAATTTTGACTATCGATTTCGATTGGTTTCGATGGTTGTAACAAAAAAATGCCGTCTTGCCTGTCGCCATCGGTCAAGCCATGACAAAGACGGCGGGTTTTAAAGGTCTCTAATTTCTTCAATTTCGTCTCGATCGACTTGAAACTTGGGGAAAATATTCCTGACCCTTTTTACTTTTGTACTAAAAATGATCAAAAAAAGAATTTTTTGAAGTTTCAAGACCTAAGTGATCCCTTAAAAAAATTTGCTTCAGCAGTCCATATTAAAGAAATTATTGTAATTTTATTATTTAAACTTAATAAAGTTAAATTTTGCATCGTTTCTCAACGAAATACTTTAGTGAAGTTGCAATTAAAGACGCCGTTGTTTGTAAAAAAAATACCCAAAATATACCTAAAAATCCAAAAAAGGAATTTTTATATCGAAGTGGCACTGTTCAGAAATGTTTTAAAAAAGTCATCTTTGCTTTCAGATCGATTTGATATTTTCCGTTGTATATCAATGCCATCGAATATCACGTACAGCTCATGGTTCCATCACATGTGGTATTCGCCGTTCCAAATTTTTCAGGAGTAACCCATGTAGAGGGTTATGGGGAGGAACCATGGCCGGATTAACATCAAATATTGCAGAAAATTATTTAAAAAATTAAATCTCAACCCTTTCGAGTGTACTTCTGACATGAAATAAAGGCTTCCCCTCAAAAACGATCAGCCTTTCGGAGGAGGTTTCAACAATAAACTGTAGTTCCTTCAATTTGTTAAGAAAAGACAACTAGGTGTGACAATTAAGTAATGAGACTGATTCCATAAAAACCGTATATTTCAAAACTATTCTACAACTATGTCATCCTCTTCAAAGTAGTACCCTTGGGCAGCTATAAAACGATTCCAGCGCGCTATCCATGTTTCGTAACATTTCTGGAACGCTTCGGCTGAGATGTCCGCGAGTACCCTCATCACGGCCGCCTTTGTGTCCTTAATTGACTCAAAATGGGTTCCCTGGATCACCGATTTTGTTCTAGGGAACAAAAAAGTCACAGGGTGACATATCGGACGGTGGTTGCAACATTGCGATCCCTTTAGAGGCCAAACACTGGGACATGTTGAGGGCAGTGTGGCACTGCACGTTTTCGTGATGAAGGTTTCAATTGCGAGCGATGTCTGTGCGTGCCCTGTTGACTTGTTTTCGCAATATTTCGAGTACTTGGCGATAGTGAAATTGATATACGGTTTGCTCAGGTGGAAGAAATTCTTTGTGGACGATTCCACGGCTATCAAAACAGGAGTAATTTTCCATTTCGTGACGAGCACCACCAATACACGTTTACAATTCGCCTGCTGTGAACTAAACCAGCTAGAGCGATGGCAAATATATCAATGGAGAGGAGAAGGGAAGGGAGTTTCAAGGTAGCAGGGTTACCACAATCGCCGCAATATAATCAGTATCATTACTTAATTGTCACACCTCGTAAATGGAGTAACCCATAATCCGTATAAAAACGAGGTTTCAAATAACAAACAATATAACCGCGAATACATAGTAAAATAAGGAAAAAGCCAATATCGTGTCGTTATAGAGTTCCTTATCAAGTAAGTACAATCAGTTTCGACGATGTGACGAATGAATGAATTGATAATTGGTTTAAGTCGACTCTTGTCTGGGAAAATCATGATGAATTCTTTAAAGACGACCTAAAGCCACGCAGAAGCATTCACTAAAGAAGAAAAACTAGCAAAAATGGAAGGAGTATCCGATACAACTATGCTCAACTAACTCATGCCTCAGTTCGTAAAGAGTTCACTTACATTTTTGAAGCTCTGTAATGACGAGAAGGATGTCGTATTAAGTCTAATTGTTACTGGAGACAAAATTTGAGTGAAATATTATGAGCCTGCGTGGAAACCGGATTCCAAGTAGTGGCATCAAAAGGCGCAGTAGCTCCTAAGAAATTTGAGGTGTTCATAGTCAGCTGGGAAACAAGGTCTTTTAGCACTCGGAAGGAATAGAATATTATTGATAGATTCTAAAGATAAAGGTGTTTCCATAACTGGAGAGTACTACGCTTAAACATTAATTAATTAACGAAAGGTGAGCTTCGATATTTTGAATCATCCACACTACAGTCCAGACCTGGCGCCGAGTGTTTATTAATTGGTTCAACAAATGAAAGCAAAGCTGAGTGGTAAAAAATTGATCACATATAATGCAATATAGAGTGGGAGTTTCAGCGTATTTTGAAGATAAGAAGATAACATTTTTCCTTCTTTTATTTCCACTTCTTATCCACCATTTCGTTCGCAACATAAAAACGCTGAAACGTATATAACGGTCAAAAGGATCAGGGCGTCTACTGCGTATTGCGTTTCGAAAGAAAAAATGTTCGATTTCGAATAAATGCTACTACTTAATTTCTTAATAGAATTTTAATTCGATAGCAAGAAAATTCACGGTACGCGAATGCGACAGTGAGTTCTATTCGAAAATGGCAAATATCATTTGACAAGAAACTAGCACAGGGGACGTATAACATATATGTATGCTATAAGTTCTCTGACTAGCATACAGAACGGTTGGAAAATGTAAGTGTTTTTTCTATTTATAAAAAAATTTTTACAGTGAAAATAAGGCAATTTGAAATAATGGTAGATTTCATGTAGTTTTGCATCTTGCTTTCCATTGTTGTTACAATATGTTTTGGACAAAGAACTATCTATTGAAATGCAAACATCCCATAAATATTTCGGCAGAATCTGCTGTGCAAATTCCAATTGAAAATCTTGCCCTATTTGATGCTGGTAACCATATTGTGGAGCTAGAAATTTTAAGGCAACTGCCAGTCTTAGGATTTGGAGTGCTTAAGGTGTTTTTAATTTCGGCTCAATATTATTTAAAACATATTGTTCAGTCTCAAAATGTCTAACTCATTCCTTAAATGTCTTCGCTAAATATTAACTTTGTTTCCGTCGTCAAACCACAACTCCGCCAAATCCGGTTTTAAATAATTTTCGCATAGATTTTGAAACTTTAACGGACTTTTGTATAAAATATTAAATTCTGTGCTGCCACATTTTAAAATTGAGTTGCGTAAACGAATGCGCAAGTGTAAGGCAGTGCCATTAACAATTCGGATCGCAGCTTGCTTTCGAATCGCAGTACGTAAAAGCGACACTAATTGATTCACCATAATACATATCTATGTGCATGTATGTAAATACATGCGTATGCATTTATTCTCTAAAATAAAGGACTTTCGCTCTTAATCCACACATTCATATAAACTATTTAAAAATATACTTTTCTTAGTAAATTAAAAACTAAAATACATTTATGTGGGTATAAACATATGTACATATTTGTGTGCATTTCTCATACATTTTTTCACACACTCTAATTTGTATGCACCTATCTGTCTCATTTTAGTCTATGGATGCCTCCATCCACCGCGGTTAATGTGACAGCCAAATTTGACATTAACGCTCGCGCCATGAATTGACAAAATGCACCTGCATCCATATGGCATATAGCAGAGAAGTGTTTCTGGAGCTACAATGCTGCTGGCAGCATTTATATACACACAGCCATACATACTCGTACACACCCATTGTCTCAGATGGCTATTATGTGGCAAATTAAGAAGAGATAACTCAACTGTTTTAAATTGTCCAGAAATGAAATGCTGTTGAGTAATGCATTGTAGTAAGTACTCAACGGTCTCGGTTAATAGTTTGAGTTGTTACTGTGTTTTTTTCAACAAAGTGGCAGCTAATTATTATTTGTAAATTGTTTTCGAATTTAGATTGCAATTAAAAAAATGACGTTTGACGCATTTGACAGCCTGAAGTTTTCCTTTGCCGCTTTTCGATGACAGGAATGCATTTGGTAATTGAGATTATTAGAAAAACTATATATTTAAGCAAACCAAGAAAGAAATATAAATATTTGTACATAACATATTATATGTATGCTCTCTTGAAATGTAAATAATTAATTTGTTGCTTATTCTATTTAATATTTTTGATAATTTTTTAATATTTCTTATGCTACTTACCATGCTTTGTGACACGCTCTGCATGTTGAATATTCCCGCAGTTTCTTGAAACACCTCATGATGTTCTGCATTGGTTGCACCACCTTCGACTAGAACTTTTAACTGTTTTATATACATTGTCGCTAAGCGTAGTGTATCCAATTTGGATAATTTGGTATCGGGTGGAATGTTCGGTAGTTTTGTTTTGAGTCTTCCAAAAGCGCTGGATAAAACACGCATTCGCGCTCGTTCTCTGGCATTTGCAGCGTTACGTTGCACTGGTGGATTTCCATTTTTTGAGCCTATAAATTTAGTTGTTTTTAATGATAATCATAATCATTCTTAAATGTAATTCAATTAGAAAAAATTGCTACCAAATTATCTGCCATATTGACAGAACCTCAAAAAATTATCAAGGTCCTGAGAAAACATATAAAATAAATCCCAAGAACTATCAGACAGCCTAACAACAATCTTCAATTTAATAATATATTGGAGGTGCAAATTAATTCAGTCCGTTCTCAAAAGATATTTCCACACGCAAGCTGTGATCTTGGAACGATTACCTATTTCATTAGAAGTTTTTCACATCTGACTGTCAGCAATGATCCGGCCCCATGTGGCTGTAACCGTCAAAAACTATCTGGAAACACTGAAATAGGCAATCATCATTATTTTCTCCTACTACTCTTTTTCGAGGGATGTAACTCGATTTGTCGATTTGTGGGTTCAACGGTTTTGGTCTTTGAAGAATTGATTCAATCGAGAACAGAGAGGATTCTTTTTATAAAAATAGTATTCGAAAATTATGAGAGATAGAAAAAAGTAAACGACTACTATTTTGTACCCCCAATATATGTATATATATGTACATATGTATGTATGTACATATTGTATATTTAATTGGCGCTGGTGACTACTCAATCAATTTGCGGCCGATCCTCTCCTCTAATTTTATACTTTTAAACAATTGGAGGGATCTACAGTTTATTCTAAGTCACCTCGGAACGTCTGATCGATTTTTTTATGAAGCTCTTATTTCGTGTCAAATACACTCGGAGGGGTGGATATTCCCTGTCGGTTGGCGATTTCAATTAGAAAACTTATTGTTATTATTTTTAAAATCAATTTTCTATAAATTTCGAAATTAGACTGACTATGTTTCGCTCCCACGACCCACCGCATTAGCTAATACAGCCGACGTTGATATATGACGAACATCTCTCAGCTTTATACGAAAATGTGATTGAGAAATGGGAAATCCGTCGATGGAGAATCGCGCCATGTTATAAATTTAACGAAAGTGGAAAAAGTTTTTGGCTGCCATTCACCTAGAAGTGGAGAAAAGCAAGCGGCTTATTACTTCCGATCTTCGACTAAGTATTCCCTGGGAAGTCAAGAAACATCTGATTAGAGGTTAAATTAGTTCGACGTTGAGGTTAGGTCGCGCGTGGTATTTGAGATCCATCTCAAGAAAAGTCTGAAAACTCTGCTAAATTGAAAAATAACAGAAAACCTTGTATGACAGAACAGAACAGACACATATAGAATTTAATACAGTGGGAATAAAAAGGAGCTCAACTTTTATGTCATCGAGAGTTACTTCTTCCCTGGCATTTAGTCGTCGAATAGCGTCACATGAGTCACAATACTCTCAGCGAAAAGAATGTGGAATGTGGATGAACACCTAGAACGCGCATAAAAGTGCTATGTCAAAATCATCCTCGACCGATTTAATATCAGTGTGTACTACGGGGTGTGACAATTAAGTAATGAGACTGATTTTATAAAAACCGCATATATCAAAATTATTATAAAACTCTGTCATCCCCTTCAAAGTAGTCCTCTTGGGCAGATATACAACGATTCCAGTGCGTTTTCCATGTTTCGTAACAATTCTGGAACGCTTCAACTGAGATGTCCGCGAATACCCTCGTCACGGCCGCCTGGATGTCCTCAATCGACTCAATATGGGTTCCTTTGACCGCCGATTTTGTTTTGGGAACAAAAAAAGTAACAAAGTAGCATATCGGGCGAGTAAAGCGGTTGTTGCAACACGGCGATCTCTTTAGAGAACAAATACTTGGTTACGCTGATGGCCATTTGGCACGGCGCGTTGTCGTGAGTCGTTTTCGCAACCTTTCGAGTACTTGGCGACAGTAGACTTGATTTAAGGATTGCTCCGGCGGAAGAAATTCTTTGTACACGCTTCCACGGCATAAAAAGGGCAATAGATCATCGTTCCGTGACGAGCACCATGAACACACGTTTCCTTAACACGACCCAGCAGGCGAACTAAACAAGCTAAAGCGGTGGCAAATACATCAGTAAAGAGGAGAAGGATGCCGGTAGAGGTCAAAGGGAGTTTCAAAGTCGCAGGGTTTTCAACAATTGCTGCAATATAATCAGTCTCGTTACTTTATTGTCACACCTCGATTGTGTCACCTGCCACACAACTCTAGCGAATATGGTTTTATTGCGAGAGAAATTTTCCCTCAGCATAATCTCTCGTCTTGGCGATGTTATTTGTGCTTGAAAATCAACATTCGCCAGGTTATAAAACTAATAAAATGGGGTCGAAAATTATATCAAACGGAGCGAAGAAATTCTCCAACTGTGCTCTGAATTCTAGCGATCCAAGCGACTGCAGTTCGGCATAACTTCGGACAAAAAATGTTGTTGGGCCACCCAAATCTATGTAGCATACATATCAGATATTTCAAAGTGTATTTACAAACTTGTTTACACTTAAAACGAAGGATCTTCGAAAACCACATCAGATGAGAGAACTTTGGAAGTTTTCAAATGAAACCGCGCTTACAGGTTTATAAAGGCTAGATCTAGGCTCTAGGCTTACTGGGCATGAATTACTAACTGCTTGCTGGAACCGAGAGACTCCGTCGGTAAGGAGCGAGTGTGAGAATACTTAAAAAGACTTCACGTTTCATACACATATTGAAAAAATCAAAACATACTTTGCGAACTCGCATCCTCATCGAAGTCATCGTCGAATGGATCAAATGGACTGGAAGCACGTTTTCTTCTCGGCATTTTTTTTTTTTTTTTGTTGGGTATTTTATATGTGTATTATTTTGTTTATTTATTTCACTCTTAACAATTAAACATTTAATCGAGCAATAAAAACTTTAAAACTTATCAATTAATTTTTCCACTAAAATTCACCGTTCTTTATGAATATTTTAAGATATCACAGTTTAATCCTCAGTCACAACCGAGCCGAGATAGAAAACAAAGAAGTGTCAATTCGGTGTACGCGTTAACCGACCGTAACGAACCATATACAATGCGTTTCTGGTACAAGATCTCAGACTAACTTAGTATTTACGCTCACCAACTCGCTCGAGTGCCATTGAATCGGCCAAAGGACTATTTTTAGCGCATTGTGGGTGGGGCGTACTCACATTGTAAATATATATACATACATAATATGTTGCATATGCGTAGAGTTCTTTAGTTCATAGATCTTTGGAGAAATCTTATTGGTAGGAATCTAGCCGTAGAATAGACAAATGGGAGTCTTACATACCCGTACATATGTTATCCATTGTACAATAGAAGGGCTGCACATACTCACATGCAGCATCTATATGTAGGCATCTATATCGCATGTAAATAAATAATTAAAGTGGCATGCGCCCATGTGGTCGGAAGCTGAACAAATTGGTAATGTTGTTCTGTCCACAATTGTTTTGATTCGAAGATTTGTTTACTTGAGCTACTTGAGTTGTTAAAAAGAATTGCCAAAGATTGTGCAAATGATCGATGTTGTATGGAGATGTGAAAGTGTGAGCTAGGAAAACCGTTCATTAAATCTTTTGTGAACTTCACCATATTTAATATATTGTCAAATATCTCCCTTCCGCTTTTTTTTCTTTTGAATTTCGCGGCTATGTACAAAGCGCTCTGGCAACACTATACATAATTTGAAAGGTCTTGACATAACCTACAAAACAACGCTATGCATGATTAGTTTGGAAATTGCGTTCAACAGTTATAGACGTGTAAACATGGAGTTCACTAACGCCGAAATTCGCGCTATTTTAAAGTTTTCCTTCGTTAAAGGCAAATCCGCTAGAGAAACGTTCCGTGAGATTAATGGTGTTTTGGGGGATGGTACTCTATCACTTCGAACCGCGGAGGAATGGTTTCGACGATTTAGAGCCGGTGAAAACGACACCATGGATAAGCCAGCCAGCGGAAGACCTGTCACGACAAATACCGATCAAATCATGGAATACATCGAGTTAGACCGGCATATGGCATCTCGTGACATCGCCCAGGAGATGGGAATTAGTCACCAAACCATTTTCAATCATCTGCAGAAGGCTGGATACAAAAAAAAGTTTGATGTTTGGGTGCCGCATAATTTGACGCAAAAAAACCTTCTGGAACGAATCAACGCCTGCGATATGCTGCTGAAACGGAACGAACTCGACCCATTGTTGAAGCGGATGGTGACTGGCGACGAAAAATGGATCGCATACGACAATATCAAGCGAAAACGGTCGTGGTCGAAGGCCGGTGAATCGTCCCAAACAGTGGCCAAGCCGGGATTGACGGCCAGGAAGGTTTTGCTTTGTGTTTGGTGGGATTGGAAGGAAATCATCCGCTATGAGCTGCTCCCATATGGCCAGACGCTTAATTCTACCATCTACTGCGAACAGCTGGACCGCTTGAAGCAGGCGATCGACCGATCGGCGTCCAGAATTGGCCAACAGGAAGGGTGTGGTGTTCCGCCAGGACAACGCCAGACCACACACTTCGTTGATGACTCGTCAGAAGCTACGGGAGCTCGGATGGGAGGTTTTATCGCATCCACCATATAGCCCGGACGTAGCGCCAAGTGATTACCACCTGTTCCTGTCCATGGCGAATGCTCTTGGTGGTGTGAAGTTGAACTCAAAAGAGGCTTGTGAAAAGTGGCTGTCCGAATTCTTCGCAAATAACGAGGGGGGCTTCTACGAGGAAGGTATTATGAAGTTGCCGTCTAGATGGAAACAGATCATCGAACAAAATGGCGCATATTTTAACTAAATCCGATCACTGTAACACTTTTTATAAAGCATTGAATGAAGAGCAAAAAAGCGGAAGGGAGATATTTGACAGCCTTATATTCAATGGAAGTGCGCTTCTTGCTGTGTGTTTGTTATGCGGATACTCAAATATCCTTATTATTTTGTATTGACCGATCTTGATCTCCAGGTGTAGCTCATTTGAATTTATAGCCTTTTCAGAAAGAAATTTATTAAAACTTTCTTAAAACTCTAAGCAAGTGAAGTACTTCCGTCTATGTCGCTCTCCTGGGAGTGTCTATTGATTACAAAGTTCGGTCTTAGTCGAAGTATCCTCTGGGGTCAAAAAGCACCAGTTTGGAGGCGAACTAAGAATGAGAGGGCCACATCAAAAGTTTTAAGATTCATGAATGGAGGGTATGCCCCCGAAATGCTCGGCCCCTTAATTAAGAAGGTCCGCTGCCCAGTTGGTTGATGTCCTCGAACGATTGACTGAAAAAAGAGGATCCTTGTGAAAACATAAATAGAAGTGCTAATTTGGTGTTATATTTGTGGTAGGTGAGGGACTCCGTAACACCAAGCTAAATGGTTGTCACCATTGTACAAGACGGTAGACGTGTATCCGGTGATTTAGATGTGCGTACATTCCGAGAACCTAATATCGACTCAAAATACTTTATTGTAGCAGCAGAGGTATACATCTGCCTCTGTTCAGCAAAGAACCTCCTGCTCCCTGAGAGCTAAGGCTATTGGGCTTACACGACCCCGAGGAAAAAGTTGGTAAGATTAATAATGTCCGACTGCTGAGTAAACTACAGACTAGTCAACAACCGTACCATTATTTCTGCTTTCTACAGACGGCATAAGGAAGTGAAGGGAATGGGTTTGATAGTGAACGTGGAAAAAACGAAATATATATCTCCTGTCATCAGTAAATAGTCAGCATTCGCGTTTTGGCTACCTCATCTTTTTTTCCAACCAACTATGTGAATCCAACGCAGAATTACTTCACTTGCCCAAGATCATTTTTAAAACATAATTTCAAACCCTTATCTTTATAATAAAGTTAAATTTTTGGCCACAGTTTATTTATTTTATTTTACTTAATTTTTTTTTATCCTCATCGCATCGAAAACTTTCAAAGCTGGAGTATTGGAATCCATACGGATCATATGACCTAGCCAGCGTAGCCGCTGCTCCTTGATTCGCTGAACTATGCTAGTGCCGACGTATAACTCGCAGAGCTCATCGTTCCAGCGGCTACGGTATTTACCAACTCGTAAGGAACCGTGAATGTCATGCAAAACTTTTCCCTCGAAAACTCCTAACGCCGAATCATCAGATGTTGTCACCGTCCATGCTTCTGCACGATAGAGCAGGATGGGAACGATGAGGGACTTGTAGAGTTTGATTTTCGTTCGTTAACACCTGTTGGCAAGAGTGAGTCTACGTTGGATTTTAAGGCTGACGTTATTATTGGTGTTGATGCTGGTTCCTAGATAGTAAACAGAACTAACGGCGCGGTTGTTAAGGCCAATAATGTCAATATCATCGGCGTACGTCAGCAGCTATACACTTTTATAGAATATTGTACCTTCTCTATTCAGCTTTGCAGATCTCATTATTCTCTCCAGCATCGAATTAAAGAAATTGCACGATAGAGAGTTGCTCTGTCTGAAACCTCGTTTGGTGTAGAACTGCTCGGGTAGGTCCTTCCTGGTTTTGACGGAGCTTTTAGTGTTGCTTAAAGCCACTTTACATAGCCGTCTTAGTTTTTCGGGGATACCAAATTCAGACATGGCGGCGTAAAGGCAGCTCCTATTTGTTGTGTTGACGGGGGTTTAAAAATGGAATAAGTCGGAGCGGCTCCACTGAAGCTTCCTGTCTCATTAGCCGTGACCCAAGGTTCCACACGGGTTGGTTACCGCATCCTGCACAAAGATTGCTCACGTTTCCAGGATGCACGACGTGAAGGCATGAGTGGGAAATGAGAAACCATTGACTGATTATTAGCTATTAGCTATAATAGCGCTTCACTTATCTGAAGAATATTTTTTTTTTTCAATTTAATTTCTCTTTGGTATCTGAAACTTTTCTTAATTCGAACTTTCAACTAAACAAATTGTTTAAAATATAAATAAATAAATGATGATACTAATAATAATGTTGCAATTCTCTATTGATAACAAATTATTTATTTATAGCAACCACTTAAGGCAACAAACAAATTTGCCTTTATCAACTAACAGTTCTTATCATGTAAGTAAGCACTTGCTTGTTTATGTACATATGTATTGTATGTATATGTATTTCATTGTTTAGAAATTCAACACTATTGACTTAATATTAATTAACAGGTATGTATGTGCATACTTTATTCTATTAAGGGTGATTTTTTAAGAACTATAGGAAAGTTTTTCAAAAAAAAAAAAACACATAAAAATCAGAAAATTGAATGTAATCTTTATTTGAATCGATAGTCCACGGTCCATTTAACTCAATATTTGAAGAATATGGCATGCGAATGTTGAGCGTGACTGCACCTCAAATAATTAATCCAATTCGGCTTAGTCCTTCCAACATTTCGGCCGGTATCTCACGAATAAATGCTGTTGTTGTCCTCCAATGCGTCCATTGAGTAGACTCCAAAAAAAAAATAGTCTAAAGGCTTTAAATCGCACCATCAAGGCCGCCAATTGACCGGTCCCGAACTTGAAATAAAATGTTCACCGAACTCGCCTCTCAATAAGTCCATTGGTACGCGTGCTGGAGGGCATGTGGGGCCGTCTTATTAAAACCACATGCCGTGCAAATCCAGCTCTTGCATTTTGGGCAAAAAAATAGATTGACATCATTCACAGTTACGTTATGATTCGCATCATCTTTGAAGAAAGTGCGGTCCAATGATGCCACCAGCCCAAACCGCACCAAACTGTGACTTTTTCAGAATTCATTGGTAGCTCTTGAAATGCTACTGGCTGATCTTCACTCCAAAATCGACAATTCTGCTTATTTATGCACCCATGAAGCCAAAAATGAACTTTGTCGCTGAACACAATTTTTTTTTTGTTGAACTTTCTTAACAGAGCACGCATTTTGATTATAAAATTCAATAATTTGCAAGCGTTGTTCGTTTGTAAGACGTTTCATGGTTAAATTATAAACCAGTATGCCAAAAAGATAATAGCTAAAAAAATCACCCTTTATAAATGAAACGTAAGACTAAGAAATATTTCATTACTTTGTGAAATTCGTGTCATTCCATGATAGCTAGAGAGTTAAACGATTAAGATCGATTCTAAATGAAAGCTTGGTTCTAAGTATTAGCATCTTATACTAGTTTTGAAAAACATTATTTTTGCTATTTTTAATCCACTTAAGCTGGCAAGAGAACTCATCAAATCTCTGTAGGTATATTGAATATGTTTTTCCCTTCTTCCTTTTTGTTGAGATAGACACCGACTACGCGATTATAAACGAGTTGAGTTATTTTATTTTCTATTTAATAAATGGCACAGTTTATGTTAGGTTAGGTTGGAGTGAATACCAATGTGGTATTAATACCATGATGTTTACTTGGTCACAAAGTTTCACTATTCCACTCCTACTCAACCGCTACAATAATAACAACAACAATAAGAAATCATCTACATGAATTCCTTTATAAATCTTATAAAATAATATAAATAATTTAGCTTGATTTCTTGTATCTTAGACAAATCATGGAGTAAGGCAACTCCTAGTTATCGTAACCTAACTCAAAGCAGGACTGTCGCATAGAAAATGAGAGACGATTTCTTTCTCCTCATCATTCTTGCAACTGCTTACAGCATCTACTAAGTCGCTGCTGCTCCGATCAAATAGTGGCCTGCCCGAACTCTCATAACCCCAGAGGTGATCTCCCCTATGAAAGAGTATACTTTTCTCGCAGGGCTAATAACTCATAAATAAATTTATTGAATACTAGTTTGGATGCAACAAATGGCGTACTAATGTATTCTTTGTCGGGAAGAATCTGCTTGATCGTGCATTGCCCGGCAGTTTCGTCTATCTTACAAATTTTCGGTTTTGCTCTCGAGAACAGGAATTCAAATGAGATATAATCTACTCTGTTCGGTCATCTCTTGTAGAGATCGGCAGCAGTTCAGCATAATTTTTTTAGTTTATTGTAAGCGAGTCAAGCTCACGGAAAATAAAAATATCCTTGCTGATACCTAGTATCCAATCATATCGGATCTATGCATACTGGCTGGAATTTCAGTTTGGATAGTCTAAAGCGCTACGGATAGCTTGAAAGAGAGCACAAGAGGTGAGATTCTTCCGAAAGCCCTCTACCAAATAATCAATCGAATCTCCATCCATCTGCATATATTTCAATACTGTCGACTGGAGTATCGAAGTTATTGCTCCATCTTTCCTTTCAGAGATACGCGTCATACAATTGTTACTAGTAAGAAATGTGATGTCTAGCACGAAATTGTAATTTTATGAATTTCGAGTATTAGACAAGGTGCGGCTACTGAAGATCACAGACTACATTTGGCGTGGTCTTGAATGTATCACTTATAGTTATAGTTTTTACCGTCAACACGGAGAAGGGCGCCAAAAGGTGAGTTCGTTGAATGTTTGTTGGATGACTGGAGATTGCTTTTCTAACAATTTCCTGATATACATACATATTTGTTATTTATTTATTATTACTATTAATTATTTTTTAATATAATTGATTGTAGTTTCAATTGGAAACCCTAGCTGACCACTGAAGGGAAATTTTAATCACAGCTGTTTGTGAACTGTCAAAACGATACGCGATATGTGTGAGAGTGTTAAAAATAATTTGTGAAAAAGAAAGCACACCAATCCACTTTCATAGGAATTTCCTTGAATTCTCATTATGGAAATGAAATCTGTAAATGGTATTATTTCGCTCCGAGCTTTCCCACGTTTATGCTAGCACAGGACTAGGACTCATTAGTAATGCCGCAAGCTATCATAATTCAGATGTGGGATGAATTCGTATTTAATGCAGCAAAAGCCAACGTTCGATGAATCGTTGTTGTTGTTGTTGTAAACGCAAAATTATTCCCCAAAGTACGTTTTGGGAAATGTTGCGTGAGTGACAGTCCTTGGTCGAATAAATTTTCGGGTCGTTCCGGTATAAAGTCCCGACTGTCGCGGGAACTATTGGATTTTAGTCATCTCATATGACAGGCATGCCTTACCGTGGGTAAATTCTTGAGCCCCTAACACGCAGGGGGGCAGATGTCTCGTTCAAGCATTTCGACTGGTAAGCGGCGATGTTTTGCTCCAAGGTGGGAATCAAAGCGGGTATGTCCACCTAGACTTTAGACTTTACATATCCCCACAGGAAAATGTCTAATGGTGTGATATCAACCGGCTCAATACAAAAAATTATCTGCTCACCGATGTCTTTGCTCAATAAATCCATTAAGTGATGCGATGTGTAGGAAGTGCCGCCATCTTGTTGAAACCAAATGTCGCCGAGATCACGAGCTTCAATTTCAGGCATCAAATAGTCGGTTATAATGGCGCGATAACGGTCGCCATGGACAGTTACATTCCCACCTGCATAATTTTCGAAGAAATATGGACCGATAATTAGACCACACCACACCGTGGTTGTTTCTGGAGAAAAATGCAGCTCTTCAATCTCTGCAGGTTGCTCTTCGTCCCAAACGCGGCAATTTTGCTTGCATTTACATACCCATTGAGCCAAAAAATCTATCTCAATCTCATTGCTGAACACTATTCGGCTAGAAAACGTCAATTCTTCTTGGAACTTTTCAAAAGCCCGTAAGCACAAGCTATACCATACGTCAGTTAGAACTGCGGCGAACGGCCTTAAATCAACTCTCCACGGTCGTGTACATTCTCAGCTGCAGCCGCTATATTTTCTTCACCGCGTGCTGGACCGAATCTATAATGGCGGATATTATCCCATTATGAAAGCTGAGTCTCATAAGTTGAACGAAGCGAGCGAAACCAATTCTCTTCAGAATGAGATTTTCGTAGAAAAGTTGAACGATTTGTAAACGTCTTTCCATGATGGAATGCCTATTAAAAAAAGTACCTCTACTAGGACCCTTTTGTCAATTTTTATTGAACCCCGTTTGGCGAGGCAAGATTTGCAACCGGAGAGCGCAGTTTGGACATTCTCATTGAAAAGAGCTTTGATTAGTAGGATACAAGATTTCCTGAATTTTAGAATTAAATTTAATTTACGAAAAGTGATATTTAATATATGTATATACGAGGTCTGACATTTAAGTAATGAGACTGATTCCATAAAAACCGTATTTTTCAAAATTATTCTACAACTCTGCCACCCGCTCAAAGTAGTCCACTTGAACAGCTGTACAACGATTCCAGCACGTTTTCCATGCCTCGTAACATTTCTGGAACGCTTCGGCTGGGATGTCCGCGAGTACCCTCATCACGATCGCCTGGATGTCCTCAATCGAGTCAAAATGGGTTCCTTCGGCCACCGATTTTGTTTTAGGGATAAAAAAGTCACAGGGTAACACATCAGGCTAATAAGGAAAAATACAAAGGAAAGGTTTACTCTAATCCTCCTAAACCACGGCATATAATTTACGAGAAATGATATTTAATATACTTATGTATATATGTATGTACATTTTTTTTTGATATTGTTCTTGCAACTCATTTAGCTAATAAACTTCAATGAGACCATCTAGCTGAGACAAGGAAATGGTATGTTATCGTTGATGAGCCGTTTAAATGCGGTGGTTGGTGTGGAGAGGTGATCTGACTTGTGCATATAAGACATACATTGGGCTTCTAAGACGGAGGTCAATTGTCGTTAACATCATTTATTCTTCCACAGTAATTCCACTTTCATTGTTTTATCACCCTCACCAATGCCCTCTTTTTACTAAATCCACATAGCAATTTGCAGAAGTGAAATCAGTTGTTAAGGATCAATTCTTGATCTGTTGTGTATATTTATTGATTGAAAATAATTGGCGCTTTGTAACCGGCGAAGCATTTTCAGACTAACTCCTCCTCTAAATTGAGATCTTCGTCCTGATGTTTTTCCAACAAATGGGGAGGCCTACCGTTCTATAGCAAGCCGCCTACACACGGCTGATGGATTTTTGGGGAGCCTTTATTTCACGTCAGAAATACTCTCTGACATTCCCAGCCGAGGGTCGAACGCAATCGAAAAAAATAGCTATTTTATTTTTTTTTAGTAAAAAAAAAATTTCAATAATTTTGGTTGTTTGTCAGACTGGGACTCTAGATAGATAAATAGATTGTAAAGAGTATATGCACCGCGACCAGTGGTCTCTTGTGCTCTCCGATTTCTTCACATTACTTCAACCAGCCTTATAACTATGCCCTTACAAAACTAATCAGGCTAGAGTGACTAATCAATTTAATGTGGTTCTAGTGCAGCTGAATGGCTCCTGGGTGTTTGTGCCTTCTTCTTGCGACAGCTTCGCATTCAAAAATGAAGTGCACAGGTGTTTCTGGCGCCAGCTCACAGAATCTGCACGTTTCATCAGAGGATATTCTGAGCCTGTACATGTGCTTACGCAGTCTGCAATGTCCTGTAAGAAGACTGCGACTCTAACCAAGACCTTCCTTCTTTTATCGCGGAGCAGAAATCACAGATCTCATAAATATGTCGAGATTGAAGATGAGAAGAGCAAAATACACCGAATCCTTAAATGGCTGGTCGTACACTTTGTGCTCGGTTCTCATGTGTGATATTTTCCCATAAACTTTGCTACTTGCAGTATTTAAAAGTAATTGCCAACAACTGATCAGCTATCACCGTTAACACAAACAATTTCAGACAAAAAACTCCCTCACTTGTGTATTTTACTGCTGGGTTTCGAAACAAATCGAATTTAGCACTATTCTCCTATCAGCTTTCTATGAACTTCACGTAGTAATTAACCGTTATATTATTTGACATTATTGCAATCTCTCTTTGCTAAAACTCAAACTGATCTCAATATAAGCAAGTTTGTAGTAAATGAATTTCAATTATCTGTATTCAGTTGAGATTTAAAACTTAAACAGTACGGACGAGCGGCACGGCACGGTGACATCAATGTGGAAGATTAGCAGAAAAACATTACTTCAAGGACAGACCTCAACGAGTCTTTCATCAAACACCAAGAGAAAAGCAAAAATAGCAAAAGCCACTGTACGTTGGTCTAGCGCTAAAGCTGACACCACCGCTGTACCACAAATACCCTCAAACGCAGATGTGGTTATCATTGGTGGCGGTTCGGCAGGATGTCATACACTGTATCACTTGGCGAAACGTGGCGTAAAGGCAGTGCTATTGGAACGTGCTAAACTAACAGCCGGCACCACCTGGCATACGGCGGGTTTGATTTGGCGTTTACGACCCAACGATGTGGATATAGAATTATTGAATAATTCACGAAATATGCTAATGGAATTAGAAGCGGATACCGGATACGATCCGGGTTGGATACAGAATGGTGGCATATTCATTGCGCACACTGAAGTAAGAATATACGTGTACGGACATGTGTTTGTTTGTGTTGTTGGCACGCAGTGTTAATAAAGAATTGATTGTAGTAGTCGGATCAGGAATTAGACGAGTGTGATGTGTTAGAGCAAGTGAAATGTGTCAAATACAGAGTTTCTTCCTTCAGTGGCTAAGTGCTTTTGGAATTCTGCTAAGTTGAGATTTAGTTCCTATCAAACTTCAAACATATCTATCTAAAGCCATCAGTGGTAGTTAAAAATAATTCATAAAGTACCAACCAAGCCCACAATGCTGTTTGACCTAAGACAATTGTGTTATCAGTAAAATTGAATAATTAAATGTATTAACGTCCGACGTCAAATCTGTGCCTACGTGTATGTGACTAGCCGATAGCGTGTGTGAATTTGACGACTTGAGATAAGTAAACAAATCATGGTCTCTCTGAGCAGTCACGGAGCTACATATCTTTCCAATTTTTTTATGAGATGGTGAGCTTTTATGGCGCAATCATAGTTTTTTGGAAGCTTCAATTGTGCTGTTTTCATCTAATGTGGATCTCGCTCATCCCAACCTCACTAGGCGAGCATGTGTAGTTTCTGTATACATTTATATGGCGAACCACTTGCTTCAAGATCGACACATCTCTGGCGCTCAGTGAAAACTTAAACTGAAAATGTGGGCGTGACAGCACTGAAGCTTCCCCTCTGTTAGTAGTGACCCCAGGGTCCACGTTTCCAGGTTATGTGTTGAAGACACAAAGTAGAAATTTGCAACTGTAACTGCATAAAATCCTACGTCAATGAGCTCTCCGAGCAGCTCGAGACTAATTAAGGTTTCAGACAAGGTGGCGTAACTTCTTAAATTTGGTGGAGAAAATACAATATTACAAGCTACTAGAGAGTTAAGTAGAGAAAGTACAATCCTCTTTATAAATGTACAACTGCTGGCGTTCGCCGGTGATATTGATTTAGACTCAACAAGTGGACTCTTGTTTTCTCCAAACTATAAGGAAATGAAATAGCTAACGAGATAATTATGGCTACCTGAGAACCCAATCTTTCTCGACGGATTAAAACCCTTCAAGTCGCTCAACACTCCTGTTCTGCTATATGGCGCAGAAGCATGGCTGATAAGAACATCTGAAGAATCGGTGCTAGGACTTTTCGGAATCAAAGTTTATCGAAAGATTACATTCAGTGATTACCGTAGCCGACAAAGTTTAGGGAATCAAGAGACCGTGACCATACGGTTCAAGAACACTGCAGCTTTAAAGGTATTCGATACAATATTCAGAAGAAGCGGAAGACCTCAACTACGTTTCTTTCATATACAAACTGTTAGTTCTTCAATTTAATTCCACTTCTGAAAAAATTTTGTGTTTAACAATTATTTTATCTTGTTGTTGTTGTTGTAACCGCAAAATTATTCCCCAAAGTACTTTTTGGGGAATATTGCGGGAGTGACAGTCCTTGGCCGGATAAAAATCCGGGTCGTTCCGGTATAAAAACCCGACTGTCGCGGGAACTATTGGATTTTAGTCGCCTCTTACGACAGGCATGCCTTACCGCGGGTAAATTCTTTAGCCCCTAACCCGCAGGGGGGGGGCATCGGTATCGCTTATGAATTTTTAGGTAAATCAAAAGTTATTTTCCTTTCTCGCAAGTCGGCGCTAATTGGAGATAACACGAGAAGCCAGGTACATCTCCACCTGCCCTTTTCAATGGAGTGAAGATCGCGTTGCTGCTGTCTTTAGATTCGCTGAATTATGTCAATGTCACTGTATATCTTGTAAAGCGCATTGCGTCTTCGTCTGCGGTAGCTGCTGTGGCTCATAAGAAAAGAACCATAATACTTCCGAAGACAATTCGTTAAATGGATTCTCGTGCCGACATAGATTTTTATATTGGTTCCTAAATAAATTAAGTTGCTTAGTTATAACGTAGACTGGAAATTTTTAATATTTATTTGATTAACTTCTTTTAATAGAAACGTTTGGATGAATATAGACGACTGGCCACTGTAGGCAATGCTTTAGGCATTGAGAATCACATACTCGGACCCGAAGAAACACAAAAATTATTCCCACTACTTGATCCGAAATCATTTATTGGAGCACTCTATTCGCCAGGCGACGGTGTCATAGATCCAGCCATGTTGTGCACTGCCTTAACTCGCGGAGCTGTTAAAAATGGTGGGAAAGTCATTGAAAATTGTAATGTCACCGAACTCTTAGTCGAGGATACAGGCAAAGGCAAACAGTTAATCGGCGTTGCCACACCGTATGGTAATATAAAAACCAAGACTGTAGTGAATACGACAGGAGTTTGGGGCAGAGACTTAGTGCATAAGTATGGCTCACACTTACCACTCATACCGATGAAACACTCCTATATTGTTTCCGAAACAATACCCGGTGTACGTGGCATACCAAACATACGTGATCACGATTATTCCACATACTTTCGTATACAAGGAGACGCAATATGCATGGGCGGTTACGAGCCGAATCCGATTTTATTAGAACCGGTGCCGGATGACTTCCATTTCGGACTGTACGACTTGGATTGGACAGTGTTCGATGTGCATCTTAATGGTGCAATGAAATTGTGCCCTTCATACGGCGATTACGGTGTAAAGAGCACAATATGTGGTCCCGAGTCCTTTACGCCCGATCACAAACCGCTTATGGGACCGGATACACAAGTGAATGGTGTATTTCATAATTGTGGTTTCAACTCGGCTGGCATGATGTTCGGCGGCGGTTGTGGTGAACAAACCGCTTTATGGCTAATCAACGGTAAACCCGATTTGCCAATGTTTAGCTTCGATTTGCGTCGCTTCACAAAAGCACAAAATCGCAATACACAGTGGATACGTGAGCGTTCACATGAGAGCTATGCCAAGAATTATAGCATGGTCTTTAAGTATGATCAGCCGCTTGCAGGCCGAAATTTCCAAAAGGATCCACTGCATGAGGACATGTTGGCGCAGTATGCTTTCATGGAGGAGAAACAGGGTTGGGAAAGACCTGGCTTCTTTATGAAGCATAAGGCAGAGGTACTGCCTTATGACTGGTATGGCAGCTATGGGCATAAAAGACACAATGATCGCGCTTATGAGGATGCGCTCGAGGGCGATTTGAAATATGCAGAGTTTTCGGAGCATCATAAGTTGGTATGCGCGTAGTTTAATTTTGTTTCTTGTTTTTTCTTTTTTTTTGTTTAAATATATTTATTTTAATTATTGATTTAAGATAGGCGAAGAGGCACTGGCTTGCCGTAATGCCGCGGTGATATTCAATATGAGTTATTTCTGTAAGCTCATTATGGAAGGACCGGATGCGCAAAAGGCAGCCGATTGGTTGTTTAGTGCAAACACGAACCGCGATACAAGCAAGTGAGTAACACCTCGATGAAATGTCAAAAAAACTAGATTGGATTAAGCTACTTTTGTTTATTTTTTTTTACCAATTCATTTAATCTTGATCTTCTTTAGAACCGTTTACACTTGTGTACTCAACAATACTGGCGGTGTAGAGGCCGATGTGACTGTATCGCGTTTGGATTCCGGCACTGGTGCGGTACACGATCCGAAGTTCACGGGTCAGGGATATTACATTGTGGCCGGTGGTGCCTCTGCTTATTATACTTACGCGACTTTACTCGCCGAAATACGTGAAAAGGGTTTCAATGTCTCATTGCGCGATGTTACAGCTGATTTGGGTGTTATATCCATACAAGGGCCGCACAGCCGTGATATACTTCAGCGTATTATCGATTGTGATCTATCGAATGAGAACTTACCACCAAATGGCACACAGGTAACAAGTATTAAATGCCCAACAGCGAATGGCAAGCAAGTTGGCTTACGTTTACTACGTGTCAGTTTTGTTGGCGAACTCGGCTATGAGCTACACGTACCCAAGGAACATTGCTCCGCCGTCTATCAATCACTTTTGGCGGTAGGCAAACCGCTTGGTGTGCGAAACGCAGGCTATCGCGCTCTGTACTCGCTGAGTAGCGAAAAAGGTTATCATCTCTGGAGTTTCGATTTACGACCTGACGACACACCCATCGAAGCTGGTCTAGGGTTTACGTGTCGCAAAAATGGTGACTACAAGGGAAAGTTGGCAATCGAAAGACAGCGTAAGGAAGGCATTAAAAAGCGTCTGGTCTATTTAACATTGAACGAACAGGTGCCTATTTGGGGCTTGGAAGGTGTGTATCGTAATGGTGAGGCCGTTGGTTTCTTGCGACGTGCTGAATACGGTTACGCTTTGGACAAATCTATTGGGCAGGCGTATGTTAGTCGAACGGATGGTGGATTTATAAATGAAAAATACATAACGGAAGGAACGTATGAAGTGGATATATTAGGCAAACGTTATAAGGCTGAGTGTCATCTACGAAGTCCCTTCGATCCGGAGAGCAAGCGCGTAATGGGTATTTATTGATTAACTGCCCGAATGTTTTATTTATACATACATGTATATCCATATTTCGTTAAAAAGGAACATTCTCAAAGTAATCTTTAAATTTATACTAATACGAGTATATGGAAATACGCATATACATATATATTATTTTGAATATAAATTTGTAAGTAATAAATATTTTTTATATGAATGCATTTGGCTTGTCATTGTAATACTAATGTAACGTGCATGCATACATACAAATATAGGTCGTAAAACTGGTGCAACACTTTGGCCTTCCCCTACTTGCCGACTCCTATTAGCTTCGCCGTTCTCCTTCAGCCTTGCAGCTTCTAGACAGTGTCGGCCTTCTCCCGATTTCTTATTTCTACCGTCTAGCTTCTTGCATGTTCAAGAATTTATTTTCCCCCACTCTTCCTCTAGGTCTTTCTTATTTCTAATAAAATGTATTTTCAGTTTATTTTCCAAATGAGCCCACAATTGTTCAATTACGTTAATCTCGGGAGATTTAGGAGTTGTTTCAAGCATTTTACGATAGCTATACAGCAGCCATAGAGAGGCATCAAGTGCTTTATGTTTGGGATCGTTGGCTTGGTAGTACTGAAAATTGTCTTTAATTCCCAGATCAGATATTGCTTGTGGTTCATATTACCATATATGAAACAAAAATTTCCAGTTCCAATTTCTGCAGCCGAAAACAATTTCGGTCGTCCAGACTTCTTTTTGTTTCCTATAAACTATTTAATTTGTTTGTTATTGATATTTTTTAAATCCTTATTGGATTCCCTATAGAAACATAAAAAACAAAAATGCTTAATATAAATTGGTTAAAAAAAGATCTAGCTTGAAGTTGATGGTAATAACAGTAGAATATATGTCCGAGTTCTTTATTGAGCCACTGTATATCAAAGTCATCGTATATCTCATACAGTTAATCGTTTCATCGGTTGCGGCCTTCGCCGCTGTCATTGCGGAAAGGACGATAAAACTAACGCAAAAACGTTTCCCAGAGTTGACTCATCAGATATTGTCGTCGTTCATGCATCCGCACTATATAGCAGGACGTGTATGATGAGCGACTTATAGAGTTTAGCCATTCTTCGTCAAGAGAGGACCTTACTTTTCAATTACCTACTCAGTCCAAAGTAGTACCTGTTGGCACGAGTGATTCTACTAACGCTGGCCCAAAGATATACCGAGTTATCTACAGCTTCAAAGTTATGACTATCGACAGTGACGTAGAAGCCGAGTCGCGTGTGTGCTAACTGTTTTTTTGATTACAGGAGATATTTGTTCTTGCCCTCTTTCACTAACACACTTATGCGATTCGCTTCCTTGTCTAGTTTGGAGAAAGCAGAATCCACGGCGCCGTTGTTAAGGCAAATAAAGATTGCTCGGCGATTGATTTCCGCTTGATTTATCCAATTCATGGGGTTGCAGTTTATTCGCCTTTGAACGGTCGATGAATTTTCATGTTGAGCTTTCCATTTCATGACAGAAATATACGCGGAGAGGTTTATATTTCTTGCCTAGGAGCGTAGGCAATAAGGAAAACATCTGTAACGTCCGTTTTGAAGATCACAAAATGAAACTGTCTTTACGCCGCTACGACTTGAGTTTCGTAAAACAGGCAAAAAAAAATACTGAGTTAACTGTTGCAGAACAACACCAGAAGGTCAGTAAGAACTCGCAAGACCACTTTCCGATCCGTTCGTTACCAAACGAGGATTCAGCTGAAATAACTTCTTCAACCTAATTACGGTTAGTTTGGTCAACAAGCTCACATTTCGGTGGCCACTTTATTCAAAAAATAATAATGTCCTCTCCTGACGAACGAATACAAAACTTTACAAATCGCACAACTCTACCGTCTTGCTATATAAAAAGGAGGATTAGAAGATGATCACATTCGTGACTTTATGTTTATTGGACTAGCGAACTATATATGTACCTCTGAGCATTGGCGATGGCGAATACACTAGACGTTGTGTTGCAAAGGGACATTGATACAGTTCAGTGAAGAGACAGCGGCCAAGCATGCCCGAAAATTGTTCAGCTCTGAAAATTCTACCAAACCTGCTAGTGGAAATCTCTACTTCGGTGGAAAACTCATGTGGAGATTCATCCGACGTCATACGACAAAGACATGAAATAACTGGGTCGATATTTTTGATTGCACTACAATAGTGAAAACGAAGAAGAAGGAGCAACCCAGTAGGTTAAAGTGTAGGTTATATCAAAAGTTCCAAATGTGTTTTTGACAGTGTCAAAGTAAAGTGTGAGTCCTCGTCTAACTATCGAAGCTGGAGCTTGGGCGTACTGTAGTTCTAATTGTATAAAAGTGAGATACCACAGTCCATTTTACTACTCAGAACAACAGTGACATAGTTTCTGAGAAGGAGCACATGCGAATGAGCTTCGTTGGTCATATAGTAATGTGTTTGGGGGAAAGCCAAATAACATCAAACAAGTCTTGCAAACCACATATGTACGTACATACACATGAATGTACATAAACAGAATTATGCTGCAATTTATCTTTCACTGAGTTGCAACTCCTTGACCCGACTTCTTCCACGACAGTGTTTATGGCTCTTTCTGAAGTGCTTACATAATAAATTGACGAGGACATCTGTTTGGAAGCCATTGGTGAACGCAATTTTATCTATATAATTTCCCAGGATACATATACACATACACGAACACAACGTTATGTAATTTTCAGTACCATTCGAGCCGATTTTTCCTCAGCCTTCAGAGGTGTTTCGTTACTTTCTTTGAAGAAACGCCATTTATCATCAGTTACATATGAATGCATGTATGTATGTATGTATGTATGTATGTATGTATGCATGTATGTATGTATGTATGTATGTATGAACATATTTTTATATTCGCTTGTTGTGTCTCAAGTACTGTGTGGGCTGTGAGAGTTTTGACACTTTTGCGGTTACCAAAAATTATAACTCAATTAAATTTAAAGTCGGAGAGATTATGATAGTTCGAGTGTTTTTCTCAGAAGGTTCTCATTTCGAACAGATGCACATAGGTGCATACATACATATGTATTGTATGTTATACACCATTTATATACTGTAATATGTATGTATGGAAGTGTTTTTGTATTAAATGTTCCACATCGCACTCAGTAGCAGACGTTGTGTCGCCAAACTAGCAGCCACATGAGGGATACACGCGTCTACTGGTATACTCGTATGCCATCATGAAGTAAATACAATAACAAATACAAAACTAACACAAAGATTTAGTACACTTCCAATTCGGAGGATCTTTTCTACTAGTATTAGACATATACGCCACAGCATAAAGTCGCGTACACCATTTTGCAATTAGGACAGAAGCAGGTCCCCTCTCACCTGACCATCTAAAGACATATTCCATCAAATATTCTTCTTTATTGGCCTAGGCACCGCTTATGCCATTTTGTGGTGTGTGGGAAATAATGTTTATAATAGAGCACCTCCGATCGACTGATGTTGTTGTTGTTGTTGCTGTTGTAGCGGCTCGCTAACCATGCTTAGGCACAGGTTTGATCAGTCTAAGTCGCCGAGGTCATCTAGTGGGAGGTCCAGGAAACGAGCTGTTTCGACGGGGTTGGACCAAAGGGAGAGGGGGGTTAGATGAGTTGATTTGAGAGGGCATGTCCACATGCAGGGCATACGTTAGGTATGCTGGGGTCTAGTCTGGATAAGTAGGAGTTTAACCTGCTACAATATCCAGACCTTAGCTGTGTCGATCGCCTGATCGATATTTATGATGAGTCTTTTTGTTTCATATAAAATATATATTCGAAGGGCTTGACTTGTATCTTTGTAGGGTTCTTCCTGATCCTTATGGAGCTTTTTATGTTGCCCAGCGTCAGTGCGCACAGCCTATACCTATACTAAATATAGGCATAGTGATGTACTTAGATGCTACTCTTTTTCGAAGGCAGTTTTAAAATGGTTTCAAGTTTGGCTACTGTTCGTAGCCACACCTCTGGTGTGCGTACGCTGCATTACGAGTTCAGTGAATCTATGGCCGAATATGTCCGCGCGCATTCAAAAGGAGTTTTAGCCGCGATCCAAGGCTCTACACAGGTTGGTTACCACACGTCACGCATAGGTTACGTATGTACCTTAACTCTTACTTAACCTGCGTAAAATAACCTGTAAGCCAGCTTGAAAGTTATTTCGGTTATGAGCAGATAAGAAGTTTTTTCCTGCTTTTGTGAGGCGTTCAGACATTCTATTCCTTAAGGGGGCTGAGAGCAACGCTACATAGTTCAGTGATACAGTTATTTAAAGTACGTAACAGATTGTAAAATAGTAAGGATACATTATACTTTTAACTGTTACTAAATACTTAGCCAGGTCTATGATATATTACAATATAGTATTCATTCACAATAAATATGTAGTAGAAAAGGAAATGAAGTGTGAACCACGTTCCATCAGTCAGCGGAGGGAGGGGCAGACAACAGGAGAGAATTCGTAAGGTTACATAAAGGGGGAGAGAGATCACGGAAAACTTAAAATACGACTTGGTGATTTATGGATAATCCCTAACGAAATGAACGGGTACAAATTAGTTTAACCGACTTAGCGAAGCCAATATCTGGTCGCTTGTGTTTCTTTTGTTCACCAGAAATATGCTGCACTGACTCGCGATAACAAAATAATCGATTTAGTTTCCAACCCTATGCATTAAAACGAATATTATGGGAAAGTTTTCCATAAATGTACCCAGTACTAAATGTGCGCCGGGTATAAATATAAAGGAATACAATCTGGCATCAATGTATTTAGTACGTCTAATTTGCTCTGATACGGTAATAATCAACAAGTACCGCTACACGGCTACTTCAATTTGTTTGAATTTTGTTTTGTTTATAAATTGAAATCCAGAAAATCTTTGCAGTAAGTTTAGTAATTTATTCTATAAATTAATAATTACCATAATTTTTCATTGTGTTGTGCTTTGTTGTGAAGTCTGGCTTATAAAACTTACGGTGAGTCTAATGAAGATGTTACCTAAAATTTTTAAATACCTATTTACAATATAGCGCCATTTGGTAGATTTTAAAAAAAATTCAGACAGACATCTCAGGAGGATTTAGCAGCGGCTGCTAAATTGTACGACCCAAAAAATGTTTATGTGAAATAATAATTTACTTTTGTAAAAATATGTGGGTAATTATTTAGAACAGCGGCTTTTGCTAAAACTGTCCAAAAATGATTGGGTTTTTGGCTAAATAGATGTATTTGATGATTATCTTTTCATTAAAAGTGGGGGAAAGCTGAATTTTGCAATAGTTTTATTGTTATTAACATTTAAAGTTACACTAAAATCACTAGCACATACATCACAAACAAATACAAGGCTAAAGCGATGTTGCCATACTGTNTTCAGCTTTCCCCCACTTTTAATGAAAAGATAATCATCAAATACATCTATTTAGCCAAAAACCCCATCATTTTTGGACAGTTTTAGCAAAAGCCGCTGTCCTAAATAATTACCAATATGTGAATGTTATGTATTTTCGACGTTTCTTTAATTACGTGAATACTATTTATTTTAGTTCTTGTTCGATGCAATAAATCGAAAAAAACTGGGCCCATACACGCTTTGTTTCTATGGCAACATTGCTTTAACCATAAACTTGTATGTAGTACAACTTTAATAACAACGTTAATAATAATAAAACTATTTCAGAATTCAGCTTTCCCCCACTTTTAATGAATAGATAATCATCAAATAGACCTATTTTGCCAAAAACTCCATCATTTTTAGCAAAAGCTGCTCTTCTGAATAATTACCGCGGTTAACTATTAATCGAATTCTTTTTAATTTATTGTACTATTATTTTGGTTCTTTTTATCTGAGGAACTGTGCATAATTTCGCAGAAACCAGTTTACTCTTATTATTTCTTCAAGAAATTCGGATAATATATTTTGTGGGAAAAGTAATATGATCCTCTTGAAACAAGAATACCTATACGTTATATTTTGAACAGATTTTGTAAATATATATACAAATCGTTATCAATTTCTTTAAAATTCTATTATATAAATTATCAAACACTTCATTTTTATTATTATTATTTTTTTTTGCTTTATTGATCAGTCGATTTTGTCTGCTTTAATGGAGTTGCTAAACTTTTCTTAAATGCAATCTGTTCAGCCCACTCTTTAGCGTGCTTTTTCTTGCGATGAGAATACATATTCGCATTGGATTTGAATGTTTGTGGGCAAAAGCTGCAGGTATATAATGCTTCTCCGGTATGTGTGGCCATGTGCTCCTGAAACGATGGGTATAATAATAGCAATTAAATTGAAAAAAGAACAATTATAATTGAAAAATGTATTGCACCTTAAAGTCGGTAAGCCGTTTGAAAGCCTTGTCACATAATTTACATACATGCTTCCTTTCTAAAGAATGCATATACTTCACATGGTTACGGTGAGCCTGCACATTGGGTGAAAGCTTAGAGCATATTGAGCAAACTTGCGGCGTTTGATACTCCTCTGTATGCATAGTTTTCATGTGCCGCGCTAAACCATATTTTGTAGTCAATGCNATGCAAGTGATTGTAGCTAGTAAAGTGTCTTATAATTGAATTGTGAATTACGGAGTAAATAAAGGACATTAGATCAAATCTTTATTACGAAAGATACTGCAAATAAAGTTGGCGAGTTTTTATTTAACAATCCAGAGATCGTACCCGAAGGATCTAGAAAATAATCGAGGTTGATTTAGTAAAATCGTAACAATATGTTTTGCAGTCAGTTCGTTTTCATAAAAGATGTTTTACATCTTAAAGCAATTATTTCATGCATTTGATAACAGTTGATAAATAATCGATTACTAAGAAAAGAATTTTTAAATTTGTTAACTATCATCGAATTCTTTTTATTTCCTTATACTATTTATTATATTTAATATTATTAGGTTTCATATGTATCTTTTAAGTTCTTAAAGAATTGCGAGTTAATGTAGTAACTTGGCTTAGAAACAAGCAAGTTCAGTCTAAGTCATTGAGGCCATCGAACTGGAGATCCGAGAAACGAGCGACGAATTTGCTTGCAGTTTGTCTTGTTTATAAGTTAAAATCCAGAAAATCTTTGCAGTACGTGTAGTAATTAATTTTATAAATTAGTAACGTTTCATTGTGTTGAGATTTGCTGTGAAGTCGGGCTTATAAAACTTTCGGTGAATCTATTGAAGATATTACATAAATGTTTAAATACTTATTTACCATATAGCGCCATTTGGTAGATTTCAAAAAATTTTGTGACAGACATCTCATGAGGATTTAGCTGCGTTTATCAAATGTATATGCAAGTAGAGAAATGTGAAAATCTTCTGCAAAAAATTATTATTTCCGGTGCGGTTAACTACAATATTAATCGAATTCTTTTCAATTTATTGTACTATTATTTTTGTACTTTCTATCTGAGGAACTATACCTATACCTATCACAGAAACCAGTTTACTTATTATTTCTTCAAGAAATTCGGATAACATATTTCAGGGGACTAGTATCATGATCCTCTTGAAACGAGAATACCCATACGTTATATTTTGAACAGATTTTGTAAATATGTATTCAAAACGTTCTCCATTACTTTAAATTTCTATCATATTAATAATCAAATTATTGGCCATTTTTATTAAAATGTAGATTTTTTTTATATACTTTTTTTTGCTTTATTGATCAGTCGATTTTGTCTGCTTTAATGGAGTTGCTAAACTTTTCTTAAATGCAATCTGTTCCGCCCACTCTTTAGCGTGCTTTTTCTNTTTTAAGTATTTACAAAGTTTGAAGGATTTATCACAAATATGACAAATATATTCCTTTCCGCTATGCATATATTCCATGTGGCTTTTATGCGCCCTATAAAGACCTTGAGACGCTGGCCAACAACGGCTCGAAAATTCCATAGGAAGATATGACGACTAACAGAAGATTTCAAGATCGGAGCAGACAAAATCTCCGGTATGTGTGGCCATGTGCTCCTGAAACGATGGATATATTAATAACTATTAAATTGGAAAAAAGAACAATTATAATTGAAAAAATATTACTATATACCTTAAAGTCGGTAAGCCGTTTGAAAGCCTTGTCACATAATTTACATATATGCTTCCTTTCTAAAGAATGCATATACTTCACATGGTTACGGTGAGCCTGCACATTGGGTGAAAGCTTAGAGCATATTGAGCAAATTTGCGGCGTTTGATACTCCTCTGTATGCATAGTTTTCATGTGCCGCGCTAAACCATATTTTGTAGTCAATGCAGCATCACATAAATCACATTTGATCAGTTTTCGAGGGATACCGCTATGTTCTGCTTGATGACGTTCAAATGCATATCGGCCCTTGATTGATGCACCACAAATATCACATATTTTTGCGTAGGCATTCAAATGTGAAAGCCTCATATGCTTTCTCAATTCAGCATCATCTGGAAATCTGAAAATATATATTTTTTCAGCATTAAACCAAACCCATCCATATGTAATGTAATAAAGTAAATGTAAAGCAACATACGTTTTATCACATTGCTGACACGGCACAGTTTTCTGTTCTTCAGAAACATGAATGTAATAGTGCTGTTTTAAGCAAGAAGCTCGAAAGAATCCCTTGGAACAAATTGTACAACGATGAGTTCTCTCTCGTTTGCCATGCGCATACTGAAGATGCAATTCAAGACTACGACGTTCGGTCATACTCTTTCCACAGAGCTTGCATTTAAAGTAATCGGGATTTTCATGATAATTAATGTGATCGATTAACAAACCACGATTAGGTAACTTTTTACCACAACAGAGCACATAACCCCTCATTTGATGCGCTTCACGAAAGTGCGCCTTTAATTCCTTAAAGTTGGCTAAAGAAATGTGACAAATACTGCAGGTCAATTTGAAATTTTTCTTTGCGATGTATTCATCAGATTCAGCTGTTTTCTTATTAACGCTTTGTCGTTTCTTTATGTTTCGGGATTTGCCTTTTACATGTATTTGCTCATTGTCACTTTCTATATCGTCCGAGTCTGAAACAGTTGGCGAAATAGATGTACCTAAATTTTCTTCTTCCATCAAATTATCATCTTCATCGGCACAAGAAAGCGTTGGTGAGGCAACAGTTTCCATACGATTCACTTCCGGTCCAATCTCATCTTTATCGACAAATGTTTCTTGCACATTGTCCGAAGGCACACAATCACGGTTGGAAGCAGCTGGCAGAATTAATTCTTCAATTTTTATTTCACAATCCTTTAGAGTTAATGTGGGCTCACAAAAAACTTTAGAAGATTCAATTGCTTTTGGTTGTCGCGTTCGTCTCGTACGCCGCCGTTGTGCAGGCGATGTATCTTCATTTCGAATAAATTCTTCTTTCTCCATGCTGAATTTTTTCAATGTGTTTGCAGCCTCTCTATGCACTTGTTTCACATTTAAATAAAATTTATGAAATGATTCAATCGATTCCCAACATATCTTGCAAATAACTTTGTTTTCTATCTGTGGCATCATTTCCAACTGTTAATAAATAGCGAAGCATTATAAATAAATCAAAATCGCTTAAATCGCAGTGACCATTTTTACCCACCTCCTCCTTGAAATGGAGCTCAATTATATCTCGCGCATTCAAACCATTTTCTTCTTTGAAAATTAAATCTATCTGATCCTCTGAACACTCCAAACATAATAAACAACATGTTCCATTGAACATTTTCTTTATTTGTCACTATTTCAAGTAAGAAAATTTCTGAAAATGCTTCTCCGGTATTGTTTACAAAATTCCAGTGTTGCCACAATTTATTTGTATATGTTTTGCAGTCAGTTCGTTTTCATAAAAGATGTTTTACATCTTAAAGCAATTATTCCATGCATTTGATAACAGTTGATAAATAATCGATTACTAGGAAAAGAATTTTTAAATACATATTTTTGCGTAGGCATTCAAATGTGAAAGCCTCATATGCTTTCTCAATTCAGCATCATCTGGAAATCTGAAAATATATATTTTTTTCAGCATTAAACCAAACCCATCCATATGTAATGTAATAAAGTAAATGTAAAGCAACATACGTTTTATCACATTGCTGACACGGCACAGTTTTCTGTTCTTCAGAAACATGAATGTAATAGTGCTGTTTTAAGCAAGAAGCTCGAAAGAATCCTTTGGAACAAATTGTACAACGATGAGTTCTTTCTCGTTTGCCATGCGCATACTGAAGATGCAATTCAAGACTACGACGTTCGGTCATACTCTTTCCACAGAGCTTGCATTTAAAGTAATCGGGATTTTCATGATAATTAATGTGATCGATTAACAAACCACGATTAGGTAACTTTTTACCACAACAGAGCACATAACCCCTCATTTGATGCTCTTCACGAAAGTGCGCCTTTAATTCCTTAAAGTTGGCTAAAGAAATGTGACAAATACTACAGGTCAATTTGAAATTTTTCTTTGCGATGTATTCATCAGATTCAGCTGTTTTCTTATTAACGCTTTGTCGTTTCTTCATGTTTCGGGATTTGCCTTTTACATATATTTCCTCATTGTCACTTTCTATATCGTCCGAGTCTGAAACAGTTGGCGAAATAGATGTACCTAAATTTTCTTCTTCCATCAAATTATCATCTTCATCGGCACATGAATGCGCTGGTGAGGCAACAGTTTCCATACGATTCACTTCCGGTCCAATCTCATCTTTATCGACAAATGTTTCTTGCACATTGTCCGAAGGCACACAATCACGGTTGGAAGCAGCTGGCAGAATTAATTCTTCAATTTTTATTTCACATTCCTTTAGAGTTAATGTGGGCTCACAAAAAACTTTAGAAGATTCAATTACTTTTGGTTGTCGCGGTCGTGGCGTACGCCGCCGTTGTGCAGGCGATGTATCTTCATTTCGAATAAATTCTTCTTTCTCCATGCTGAATTTTTTCAATGTGTTTGCAGCCTCTCTATGCAGTTGCTTCACATTTAAATAAAATTTATGAAATGATTCAATCGATACCCAACATATCTTGCAAATAACTTTGTTTTCTATCTGTGACATCATTTCTAACTATTCATAAATAGCAAAGCATTATAAATGCATAAAAATTGCTTAAACCGCAGTGACCATTTTTACCCACCTCCTCCTTGAAATGGAGCTCAATTATATCTCGCGCATTCAAACCATTTTCTTCTTTGAAAATTAAATCTATTTGATCCTCTGAACACTCCAAACATAATAAACAACAGGTTCCATTGAACATTTTATTTATTTGTAACGTACCAATTCAATTGTTTACAAACTTCCAGTATTTGCTCTCATATATGGAATACTTGCTACTGTAGCGAATATGCCAAATATTATTGACAGTTCTAAAAGAGATGCCGATAACTAAATCACCTTCTAAAACGCCAGTATCGTAAATTTTGTATATCGTAATATCATGCCAGAAGACTAAATACGTGGGGTGTAAATGAGGTGTACAAGATGTGGTAACCAACCCGTGTGGAGCCTTGGGTCACGGCTAATGAGATAGGAAGCTTCAGTGGAGCCGCTCCGACTTATTCGGTTTAAGGGTCCCCTGAAGTCTAATTGCCGCGTCTGTTCACCAGAGGTGCGGCCGCGAGCGGGCGTCGGCTTTGAAGCGGGACGCTCGCCTAGCGAGGTTGTACGATGGGTTTGGAACCCGCCACTGTGAAACCAGCTCCAATGAAATATCTTAATGAGAATGAGATACCCCTTTATGTTGGCGACCCCGCAAAAGAATTAAGGATCACGATTTGAAGGCATGCAGCAAGAATGTCCGGTACTTTAATTGGGAATAAAGTCTGACATCACCGACGTCCAAGGGACAAGGACGAAAGCGAGTAGGTTATTGTGGCATTTACTACAACGGCTATATAAAGAAGCGCTAATTTGGTGTTGTATTTGTGTTGAGAGAGACTCCGTCGTCGAGTACTGGCATTCACACCGGTGAAGAAGCGCCTCGCCACAATCCGTGTCAAAGGGAAGATTTTTCAACATATCGTTGATTTGCGCACATGCTACAACGAAAAAGAAGGACGATTTGTGCAGAGCGTACTTACGAGCGCTGCCCCCGACACGATGTGAAAATCGTGCTTGGCGCTTTTAATGCCAGGGTGGGTAAAGAAGGTATCTATGGTACGACTGTTGTAAAATTCAACCTTCACAACGAAAGGCTGATTTCGCAAATACAGCTAGTACAATGAGGACTGCCCTGGCGCAGTGGAGAGAAAACAAACTGCCTACCTGCCTACCTCCCAACGCTGCGAACAACCACAACACGTGCGGGATGAGATAGATACCGAAAGTTAAAGAGAGAAGCAAGACACATCTGCAAATAAAAGAAAAGCTCGAGACACGTGAGTATGAAGACCTTGAGACGCTGACCAACAACGGCTGGAAAATTCCATAGGAAGATCTGACGACTAACAGAAGATTTCAAGACCGGAGCAGACACAAAAAGGTGATCTAGTCATCGATGCCCAGGGCATATTGAATTTACGGAGGGAACACTTCTCCAGCCGTCTGAATAGCTGTGAAAATGTAGTATCGGGAACCCGAAACCCTAATCGATGACGATGGAAAAGGCGTTCCATTACCTGAACACGAAAGAGTGCGAATAGCCACCGCTCGCTTAAAAAACAATAAAGCGGCGAAAGCTGACAGCCTACCGGCGGAACTATTCAAATATGGCGGACAAGGATGAATCAGCTACTTTGAAGAATATGATCGGACGGAAGTATGCCCGACGTTGGGAATTTAAGTGTGCTCTGATCAAATCATAAAAAAGATGACCTCACAATCTGCGCCAATTACCGTGGGATAAGCCTCCTTATTATCGCCTAAAAGGTCCTGTCGAGTGTATTGTGTGAAAGATTAAAGCCCACCGTCAACGAACTGATTGGACCTTAGCGGTGTGGCTTCCGACCTGGTAAGTCGTCCATTTACCAGATATTCCCCAAGCGCCAAATCATAAAAGAGACCCGTGAAAAGAGAATCGACACCCACCACCACTTCATCGATTTATTAACCCCCATCGACAGGACGAATAGGAGCGAATAACAAGATCTGCAGAGCTGAATAGAGAAGGTAAAATATTCTATAAGAGTGTACAGCTGCTGACGTACGCCGATGATATTGACATTATTGGCCTTAACAACCGCGCCGTTAGTTCTGCTTACTATCTAGGAACCAGCATCATTACCAATAATAACGTCAGCCTAAAAATCCAACGTAGAATCACACTTGCCAACAGGTGCTAACGAACAAAAATCGAACTCTACAAGTCGCTCATCGTTCCCGTCCTGCTATATCGTGCAGAAGCATGGACGATGACAACATCTGATGATTCGGCGTTAGGAGTTTTCGAGAGAAAAGTTTTGCGTGACATTCACGGTTCCTTACGAGTTGGTAAATATCGTAGCCGCTGGAACGATGAGCTCTGCGAGTTATACGGCGACATCGAAATAGTTGAGCGAATCAAGAAGCAGAGGATACGCTGGCTAGGTCATATGATCCGTATGGATGCGAATACTCCAGCATTGAAAGTTTTCGATGCAGTACCCGCCGGTGGAAGCAGAGGAAGGGAAAGACATCTACTTTGTTGGAAAGACCAGGTAGAGAAGGACCTGGCTGTACTTGGTATTTCCAATTTGGCGATAAACAGCAAAACGAAGAAACGAATGGCGCATTGTTGTAAATCGGCTACGCCAGTAAAGTAAGTAAGTAAGTACAAGGTATATAAAAGAGCGGCCAACACAGCGGGAGCTTTTTTTTTTAGAAAGTGAACTCTGTGGCGACAGCATCGGTATAGATTACAGCGGAATAAGCTGTGTGTTTATGAAGGGTTCTATAGTTAGTAAACTGTGAGAAAATAGAAGTGTTAAAAAATTGTAAAATAAGTCATTATGCGATGGTATAAAGCGAATTGTTAGTTATTGAGTAATAAATATATGTTGATTGTCATCATTATTTACAATTAAGAAATTGTAAAAACAAATTTTCATACTTTTATTGACAAGCTAGTGATCGAGCTCGAAGGATTTGCGAAAGTATCGAGGCGCATTTATAAAAACCGTTACAAAATATATCATACGTTGATGAATAATCGATTACAACAATAATTGTATTTCAAAATCTTGCCTAATTCCTTTTAAAGACGCCAAATTATAGATTACTCTTAATTTATATATCTTGTCGCCTATAAAAAACATTTTCCGGGAAGTAAATCGTCTGATTTCCACGAAATTTGTTACATAGGTAACCCATTGCCTAAATTGATACAAGCAGCATTATATCTTCCAGAAAGTGGACCTGGGGCCGACCTAATTGAGAATATTTTAATTATAGTTTGATTTACATAGAAATTGGTACAGGGATAGATAGAAAGATTAGTAAAGATTTCTTCACATTATTTCGAATTGGATATGGAACTGTGCTATTCAAAAAAATTAATTTATGTATTTTTAATTCGTTTGGTTTACATGGAATTTGATACGTATTTGCCTGAAGTGATATGGGAGACACTATTTCTTCCGGGAGGTGAAACTGGGGCCGATATTCTAAAAATGTGTACTTATTTACTATATAATAATTGGTACAGCAGTAGCTTAGGGTCCAAATTATAATTGGGAAGACTTTTTCTTCCGGTAAGTGGGCCTAGGATCCGAACCATTTAATCGATTCCATGCTCACTTCCCACGTGCTTAATAATGTGGGAGATATAGTAAATGTAAAAAAGTTTATAAATTGTAATAATATTAATAATGTAATAGAACTAATAGACCTTTTCAATATCATCTTGAAATTCCACGCGGATCAAATCTCGGGCAAACTCTCGTTATGTAATAATTCTTTCGATCCTTTAGAATGTTCGTATAATTTATATTATGACAAAAGTTCAATAATGCATGCCGCAGAAACAATTTTAAATATTTATCTACGCAGTTTTGACTAGTATACTCGTAACAACTTTTTTTAAATATAATTAGCGGTGCGTGGGCTGCTCAGAAAATGGATAATGTTCCGTTGCTGCTTTCTAAGTTGGAATTTGTAGAGTGCTTCCATGCTACATGCCTTTTAGCTCTAGCGTCATAGTCTACCTTCGGAATCCATTTGATCTTGTGTAAGTCTCATCCCATTCGAAAATTTTTTCTTTGAACATTTCTGCGTCCATTCTTGCGGATGTTTTCGTTTACGATGTGTGTACATATTTGATTGTGAATTAAACGTTTGCGGACAAAATGTACAAGTGTACAAACCTTCTCCTGTGTGTGTGGCCAAATGATCCTGAATAATTGAAACAGTTTATGCCATTAATTAATAAAAATACTAAAATAATTATTATTGCATACTTTTAAGTATTTACAAAGTTTGAAGGATTTATCACAAATATGACAAATATATTCCTTTCCGCTATGCATATATTCCATGTGGCTTTTATGCGCCCGTAGTGTGGGTGATACTTTGGAGCAAACTGGACATACTTGTGGAGTTTGATACTCCTTGGTGTGCATCGTTTTCATATGTCTCGTCAGGCCGTATTGCGTTTTAAGCTCAACATTGCATAATTGACATTGTACTGACGATCTTTGAACGCCAGCGTGCTCCTCTTGATGTCGTTGGAATGCTTCTTTATTATTCAAAGATTTACCGCAAATATCACAAATCTTTGCATATAAATTTAGATGAGTTAAATTTAAATGTTGTTTCATGGAATATTGATTGCAGAATCTATGTGGGGAAAGGGAAACAAAATATACCTTTCAAGTCAAAGATATGCACCAAATATATATTGTATTTAAAGCAAAATCTACCTTTTCTCACACTGAGTGCACTTAACAGTTTTCTGCTCCTCCGGAGCATGTATTAGATAATGTCGTGCAAGTACTTTGCGTTGAGAGAAGCACTTAGAGCAAATGTCACATTTATAAATATGACGTTCTTGGGAATCATGAGAGTAATGTAAGTGGGATTCGAGATTCTTTCGATCACATAGTACTTTTTCGCATTGTGGACATTTAAAATACTCTGGATCTTTATGGAAATGTATATGATCAACTAGATCACCACGTTTGAATAATTTCTTCCCGCAACATTTTATATATCCATTCGTTTGATGATTTTCACGATAGTGGATCTTTAAATCTCTAAAATCTGTTAGAGATTTGTCACATATAAAACAAGTTAACTGGAAATGCTTCGCAATGAAATCATCATAGTGCGGTGTCTTATTGTGATCTCTGTGCACATTAGTGGATTTCATACTTCTCTTTTTAACTTTAATTTTATTCTTCTGTTCAGCTTTGTGGTTATTAACAGGACTTCCAAACGCATCGCTTATAGCAATGCTACTATCATCCCCATCTAACTGTTTCAACGGAACAAAATTTGAATGGTTTGATTCGTCACATATCGCTTCATTTCTAATATGAAATTCTCCCACAATTATCTCTTCCTTACTCGTGTATAGCTCTACACCGTCATTATTTTCTTCACATTCCTTGCGTTCATTTGACGTTGTGGCCAATTTATCCTCATCATTTGTTTCCACTTTAATTTCTGTAACTGCTATCGTAGATTCTTGCAGCGCTTCAAGCTTATAGCTCGCTTCCAAATGTGCGTTTTGTACACGAATGTAGAATTTATGGAATGAATCCAGCAACTCCCAACATTTATTGCATACAAATTTAGTTGATAAACTCGACATGATGAGGAGCTACACAAGATGGTAAGTTAAATAAATACATACAAATATTGTTACTTATTTCATGGAAAACCTACCTCTTCCTTGAAATGTTTATCAATTCTTTTATGTGCTTCTATAGAGATCGCATCCTCCATGTTAAGATTTATTCTGCTTTCTATTGGCGTAATATTTTCCAAGCATAAAACACAACATTTTTCGTATAACATTTTATGTATTTGTTCCGCTATTAATGGCAACTTCGAAAAAGATGATTGGAAACGAATCTTACTGAAATTTGCTAATATTGCAATAAGAACCTAGAAAAGTATATGAAACTTTACCAAATATTTGTTTACAAAGTCCCAGTGTTGCCACAATTTATTTATGTTTTCTGTTACATCGGTTTGTTTTTATAAAAGATGTTTTACTTTTTTTCGTTACTCATTTTCGGATACGTCCCTTTTGGTGTGGTGTCTTCATGACCACTCAGAGAGACTTTGTTTTAATAATTCCTTGTTATTTAATTTTATTTGATATTTGCATTTTTTTAAATTAAGTTATTATTATATTTATTAAACAATAAATAAAAATATATTACATTTACTTGTATAAATTTAAGTTTTAAATTCTTAAATGTCGTCTCATACATTCATTTGAATATCATCATAATTGCAAACACTCAAAGATTTTTTTTAATGAGAACGTTCTGCGTCGGGCTGCTTGCAAGTCCTGGTAGAGCATGTACGGTATCTGCAGAGTGAGTCCACGAATTTCTCTTAACCACACATTTCCTGATGTTCCATTGAACTCGATAGAGGAGAAACATCTTTAAGAGATCTTGAAAAAAAAAAAACAAATTCAGGTGGACAGTTGGTACCTTTTAGGGCACTTCAGTAAACCAATCTCAAAAGATGGAGATCTTTCGTCTCTTCGGTGGGTCTTAACAGTTATCCAATTATTCAGCGGCGTGAAGGAATAGGGAAGATGCAGAGTCATTGCATATGCCAATTCCTTATATAATATTAAACAGGACGGACTAAGGCGGATAAAAAAGCGCGCTACATACGCCAATTTAGGCATTAATCCACACCACAAGGAAACACTTGCAACAGTTATTTGTATTTCGGGTATAAACATCCGACTATCGCGGGAACTTTTGGATTTTAGTCATCTTTAGTAGTCAGACATGCGTTACCACAGGTAAATTCTTTACCGCCTAACCTGCAGGTCATGCTAATATCGTCTACAAAAATGGATCGAGTACTGTATAACCTTCATTGACTCTATGAAAGATTCCAATGTCATTATTTCGGATAGAAACCAACGGGACAGGAGGGTGGTACCTATTTAATATGCTTGGTGTTGGCTAGGTCGGTGCTGACTCAAGTGAGCCGATGTCCAACAACCTATTCAACCCAACCTTGAGATCATAATAAATTGTGTCTATACAAAATCACTAAAGGCATCATACCAATCATACAAAATATTTCATACAAGAAGTCTCTCAGAACATCTCGACAAAGTTTAAAAGTAATTAAAAAAAATCGCGCGCTGATGGGATTTTGTTTTGGGTGTGGATATTGTATTATACGAATATCTCTGGCCGGAAGTTTTCTATATCTGTTTTATGTCGTATCGGCAATGTCTTGTCTGGTATTTAAAAAATTCGCTGGACTTTTTTCTGTTTGGTTTTTCAAAGTCGTGTTTATGGATACATGCTCTATTTCATCTGCATATTTTACCATGGTATCCACCTGATTTTTCTTTGAGCATTTCTGCGTCCATTCTTTCGGATGTTTTCGTTTACGATGTGCGTACATATTTGATTTTGAATTAAATGTTTGTGGACAAAATGTACAAGTGTACAAAACTTCTCCAGTGTGTGTTGGCATATGCTCCTAAATAAATGAAACGTTTCCTTTAATTGATTATAAAAAACACAAACGCATATGGCTACAGCATACCCTTAAGCAATTAGGCAGTTTGAAGGACTTATCACAAATATTGCAAATATGTTTCTTTCCGCTATGCATATATTCCATGTGGCTTTTATGCGCCCGTAGTGTGGGTGATACTTTGGAGCAAACTGGACATACTTGTGGAGTTTGATACTCCTTGGTGTGCATCGTTTTCATATGTCTTGTCAGGCCGTATTGCGTTTTGAGCTCAACATTGCATAATTGACATTGTACTGAGGATCTTTGAACGCCAGCGTGTTCCTCTTGATGTCGTTGTAATGCTTCTTTATTTTTCAAAGATTTACCGCAAATATCACAAATCTTTGCATATAAATTTAGATGAGTTAAATTTAAATGTTGTTTCATGGAATATTGATTGCAGAATCTATGTGGGTAATTTTAAAAAACACAAAAATGTAATAACTATAATTACATATATCAATCAAGTGAAATATTTGAAAACAAAAATTATTAAAAAGAAACCTCATTTACGTTTTCTCACACTGAGTGCACTTAACAGTTTTCTGCTCCTCCGGAGCATGTATTAGATAATGTCTTGTAAGTACTTTGCGTCGAAAGAACCCTTTAGAACAAATATCGCATTTATATACAATGCGTTCGTTGGAATCATGAAAGTGTTGCAAATGCGATTCGAGACTACTTCGATCACAGAGAACCTTATCGCAATGTTGGCATTTGAAGTAATCTGGATTATTATGTACATGTATGTGGTCCACGAGAATACCACGATTATATAATTTCTTGCCGCAGCACTTGGCATATCCATTTGTTTGATGCTGTTCGCGATAGTGAACTTTTAATTCTTTAAAATCGATTAGAGATTTTTCACACAGAAAACAAGTTAATTTGAAATTTTTCGCAATGAAATCATCATAGTGCGACGTCTTATTGCGTTCACTGTGCACATTAGTGGTATTCATTCTTCTTTTTTTAAATTTACTTTTCTTCTTTTCTAATGAATTGTGTTCAGCTTTGTCGACATTATTGGTGGAAACAGAACTACGAAAGGCTTCGCTCATTGAATTGCTACTATCATCCTCAACTAACGAGTTCAAGGGAACGCAATTTGAATGGTTTGATTCGTCACATATCGCTTCACTTTTAATATGAAATTCTCCCACAATTATCTCTTCCTTACTCGTGTATAGCTCTACACTTCCATTATTTTCTTCACATTCCTTGCGTTCATTTGACGTTGTGGCCAATTCATCTACATCATTCGTTTCCACCTTAATTTCTGTAACTGCTATTGTAGATTCTTGCAGTGCTTCAAGCTTATAGCGCGCTTCCAAATGTGCGTTTTGCACACGAATGTAGAATTCATGGAATGAATCCAGCAACTCCCAACATTTATTGCAAACAAATTTAGTTGATAAACTCGACATGATGAGTAGCTACAAGATGGTAAGTTAAATAAATACATACAAATATTGTTACTTATATCATGGAAAACCTACCTCTTCCTTGAAATGTTTATCAATTCTTTTATGTGCTTCTATAGAGATCGCATCCTCCATGTTAAGATTTATTCTGCTTTCTATTGGCGTAATATTTTCCAAGCATAAAACACAACATTGCTCGTAAAGCATTTTGTAAACATTATCTGCGTATAAATTGTTCTGAAATTGTTATCTTAGTTCAACCAGCCGAAAACGTACGCACACAGCTGATATGACCTGTTTTATGATTGTCAGCCAAAAACCTACCGACTCAACTGATACGATCTATCTTTTTTTAGTTCAATCAGCCAAAAACGCTCCTTCCTTTTGCCGTGGTACATTAAATGGAAATTACTAGCGGTATACATTTTTGCTGTAAAACCGATTCAGGTTTTACCGGCCGGTATAGACTTTTATAAATAAATTATAAATAAAAACTAAGCGAATACAATTTTTTGTTAAATTAATGAGAACAGAATCACAATTTTAATCATTGTCATATTTGACAGCTCTAACAAGTGGAAATAACTAAAATAAAAATAAATTAAAATATCTAAAGTAAAAAAGTAAAATAACTAAAGTAAATAATACAAAAATTTAAATAAAAAATGAAAAAATTAAGTAAATAATAAAAAATTTAAATAAACAGTTACTAAAAATATTAAAAATTTAGAAAGGTTCAAATAATACAAAAAATAAAAAATAACATTAAAGAAATAAAATAATATAAAAAAGGTGTACATTTGTATAAAAAAAAATTAAAAATAAAAAATTTTAATAAATATAAATAATAAAGAAATGAGTAATACAAAATAAATGTAAAACAGGAATAATAAAAGCAATAATAATAACTAAATAAATAAATTATTAAAATTAAAAAGAAAATAATAAAAAAATATAAAATAAAAAATTACTAAAAAAAAAATTAATAAAAAAATAAAAAATAAATAAAAAAATAAAAAATAATTAAAAAAATAAAAAATAAATAAAAAAATAAAAAATAAATAAAAAAATAAAAAATAAATAAAAAAATAAAAAATAAATAAAAAAATAAATAAAAAAATAAAAAATAAATAAAAAANAATAAATCAAATGAAAAATAAGTCATACAAAAAAAAAAAACGCAAATATCAAAAAATATAATTAAAAAAAAAAAAATAATAATAAAAAAAAAAATAAAATAAAAAAAAAATATTAATCAATAAAAAATAATAATATAAAAAAATAAAAAATAATATTAAAAAATAATAATATTTAAAAGAAATTCCATTTTAAAAATATAATAATACAAAAAAATGTGTACATTTCTATAAAAAAGAAATAATAAAAAATTGTAATAAAAATAAATAATAAAGAAATGAGTAATACAAAAAAAATAATAAAAGTAGTAATAAAACTAAATAAATAAAAAAATAAATAATATAAAAATTAAAATAATCCAAAAAATATTAAATATTAAACCAAAAAAAAAATAAAAATAACATGATACAAATTAAAACTAAAATTGAACAAAAAAAATATTATATTTTTATAAAAAAAAATAGTACCAAAAGAGTAAAAAACAGTAAAAAATAGTAAAAAATAGTAAAAAATAGTAAAAGAAATAGTAAAATATAGTAAGAAATAGTAAAAAATAGTAAAAAATAATAAAAGAAATAATAAAAAATAATAAAAGAAATAATAAAAAATAACTAAATAAAAATTAATAAAAAAGTAAAAAGCAATACAAAAAATAAACAACAAAATTACTAACATTTTTTAACTGAAATTTACCTTTATTGTCAATTTTTTTTTTATTTAGACTTTTCCAACTTTGTCTAATGTACAAATTATTTTATTAAAGAAAATCCTTTGTAATATTGTAGTATCTTTACTATGTTCTTTGAAGTTTCTGAAGATTACACTGTTATTTTTGCTTCTCAATTTTTGGCGTTATATTCGTTTTTAAACATTTTTCGGACCATTCTTTAGGATGTTTCCGTTTTCGATGTTTGTACATATTTGCGTTCGATTTGAACGTTTGTGGACAAAATGTGCAGGTGTACAATGCTTCACGGGTGTGCGTAGCCATATGTTCCTAAAAAATAAAATTATATTTATATTCAAAGATAATTTATTATAATTCAGCGTAACTCTATGTAAAATTGCTTACACGTAAATTATTGGGCCTTTTGAAAGCTTTATCGCATATTTTACAGACATGCTTCTCCTCTGTGGCATGCATATATCTGAAATGTGTGGTGTGAGCTCGAAGTGATGGCGATATTTTTGAACATATCGAACAAGTTTGAGGTTTTTGGTACTCTTCAGTGTGCATTGCTTTAATGTGTTGTGCAAGACCATTTTTTGTTAATAGTTCGGCGCCACATATTTCGCATTTTACTTTTGATCTCGGTAAATTGGAATGTTCTCGCTGATGTCGTCGGAAAGCTTCACCGCCAGTAAAAGATTTCCCACAAATATCACATATCTTGGAATACAACCGAAGATGGTAAAGGTTTAAGTGCTGTTTCATATTGTATTCACTTCCGAACCTATAAGATATTTATAAACAATAACGTATTATAGAAAAAAATTGAATATCTTTATTTTATATACTCACGTCTTCTCACACTCCGTACATTTAACTGTCTTTCCTTCTTTGGAGGAATGTATTTGATAATGTCGAACGAGTACTTTACGCCAGTAAAATTCTTTAGAACAAATTTCGCATTTATATGCAGTACGTTCCTTGGAAGCGTGGAAATATTTTAAATGTGATTCGAGATTTCCTCGATCGCAGAACACTTTATCGCAATGCTGACATTTAAAGTAATCCGGATCATTGTGAAAACGTATATGATCAACGAGAACACCACGTTTGAGTAATTTCTTACCACAGCATTTGACATATCCATTCGTTTTATGTTCTTCACGATAGTGTAACTTCAATTCTCTAAAGTCTGATAGAGATTTTTGACATAAAAAACAAGTTAGCTTAAAATTTTTCTCAATAAATTCATCATATTCCCTTGTTTTTAGTCGCTGCTTCTCGTTTGGCGAATGTAATGTTGCAACGCTTAGTTTCTCTTTTCGTTTTTGGTTGGGTTTCTTTTCAGTTAGTACCTTTTTCTCTTTTTCCGCTACAGATTTTTTACCATCCTTAGACATTTTATTACTTACAACACTATCATCAGCGGTTGAGTAAGTAAGTTCCACAGTTTCAGGCATAAATTCACTGTCATTCCTTGAATCCTCTACGTTTTTATAAATTTCAATATTGAATTCGTCCAATTCAATTGGTGAGCGTTGAAGAGGCGTTGGCGGTGAAGCTAATTCGTCTACAGCATCAGGGTATGCCTTTATTTCGGTAAAGGGTATCTCTAGTTCTTGTAAAGACTTGAGCGTTATACTGGCAGCCAAGTGTGCGCTCTGTACACGTACATAGAATGCATGAAACGAATGCACCAACTCCCAGCATTGGCGGCACACAACTTTGTTGATTAATAATGGCATGGCGGTGAGCTAATAATTAGCGAATGTTAAATTTTAGTTTTAGGATAAAACTGTGAACACACCTACCACTTCCTCCTTAAAATGTTGTTTAATTACATCGCGTACGTTCACTGCCTGAGGCTCAGTGGAGTCGATATCTATTTCCCTATTAGATATATTTTCTAAGCACAATATACAGCTCAATTTGTCAAACATCGTCTGTATTTAATAATAAACTACACATAGTTGAATGTCACTGTGTTTATTTTGTTGTTAAGACCATTAATAAAAACAATGAATTGTTTACAAGAAAGGGAGCTGCCACATTTAATCATTTATCATTAAGTTTGTTCGTCAAGTCTTAGTTTACACACGGAAACATTTATTGTTCGTTATGGTCAACTTTTGATGCTGCCGGTAACGGTATTGAGAGAGTAAGATGATTTATGCTCCAAAGAGAGAAATTAATCAAATCATATTGAAGCAGTCTGCGAAACATATAGCGTTATCATTACGAAGTTAGCGCTATCAGTTTAAAATAAATTCAAAGACGTATCAAAAACTTCATATTTTATTCAAAAATACGTACATATGTACAGTTGCGGTCAAAATCTTAGTAGTGATTTTGCTAATTAAATATAAGTCATCATAAATTTGGATTTCAGATTTTTTTCGCTTTCACTGTAAATACCGTTAGGTTAGGGCGCCGACATGACGATATGCATTGGTTTGTCAAGCTAGAATTATTGTTGTTGTTGCAATCGGCTAAGTTTTAAGGTAAAATGTGTATTTGATCAGTCAAATTCTTAGTAGCGCAATCAAGAATAGTTCAAAAAAGTTAAATTCTTTTTGTTTTTGGGACTAAAAAAATTATTCTGTTTTATAATGTGGAAATTTTGATCATGCTAAACCTACAGAGAAGTAAAAAATATCTATGATTGCTCCTCCACAATGGTCCGAAACGCTATAAAATACAAACCGGGTGTCGAAGAACGGGGACGGAAACGTGTAATGAACACTCAATATCCGTTTGCGGCTGCCACTGAAACAAAAAAAATCTATAAATGTCTCTCTCCGCTGACGCTTACAGGAAAACGATCTGTCACCTCGGAGCCCCAGAAAAGTGCCACTGCTTACTAAACAACAAGTGGTCAAACGATTACGTTTCGCTAAAGACCATTTGACTTCGCCTTTTACCAAATAGTGTAACATGGTCAGACGAGTCGAACATTTTTCGCTATGGTGGAAGAGGTTCAAGGCAGTTTGTAAGACGTCCACCCAACAGCGCACTTAATCTAGAATATACCACTAAAACGGTAAAACATTGTGGATCCAGCTTTATGGTTTGGGCATGTTTTTCGTGGTATGGAGTTGGACCCATTCATGGGATCAAGGAGACCATGAATGCTGGCCAATACGCCCAAATCATGCAGGAGGTCGTGCTCCCATATGCTTGCGACGAAATGCCACTGATTTGGACCTTTCAACAGGACAACGATCCGAAGCATACTAGCAAGCTTGCAAAGAAGTGGTTTGGAGAAAAAAGGTGCAAAAATCTCGCGAACTCAATACAATACATCTATACTAAATTAATGTATAATAGGTAGTTAATTGATAACCAATGTAAAAAAAAAAACATTTAATTCAACCTAAACAAAAAATGCTTTAAAATATATCCTATAACGTCCAACACTACTATAATTTGGACCGCTTAAAAGCTTAGATTTTGGTAAAAATATTATTTTTTTTTTTTTTATAACCAAGTGGCTCCAGTTTTTCTTAATTAGCTTTTAATAGTCTTTTAACTATTAAAAAAAGTAAAATTAAACTGATTTTGGGCGGCAACTTTTTCTTTCTAACTGAATTTAGTGGTTGACCGCGCTACTAAGATTATGACCGCAGCTGTATATATGCATTTTTGATTTATCAAACTTCATAAGTGATATTTATATGTATAAAGTGATATTTAAACATTCACAATTCATTCGTCTATTCATTACTTTTGCACTAGTTCTTCCGCAGCATCCACAGATTCTAATATGGATTCCAATTGCTTCTTTATCTGTTTACCCATTCCATTGGAATTATTTTTTTGCACATTTTTCAGCCCATTCCTTTGGATGCTTTCGCTTACGATGTGCATACATATTCGCATTTGAGTTGAATGTTTGAGAACAAAATGTGCAAGTGTATAAAACGTCACCAGTATGACTTGCCATATGCTCCTATAAAAGAAAAAGTTTAAGCAAATGGCATATTCAAATGAAAGTTAATTTACTCGTAAACCCTTGAGCCTTTTAAAGGCTTTGTCACACAGCTTGCACGCATGTTTTCTCTCGGTGGCGTGCATATATTTAAAATGGTTCTGATGTGCTCGAAGTGTCGGCGATACTTTGGAACATATAGGACAAGTCTGAGGCGTTTGATACTCTACAGTGTGCATTACTTTCATATGACGAGCTAAACCATACTTTGTAGTTAATTGCGCGTCACATAAATCACATTTAATTCGTGATCTTGGTAAACCGGAATGCTCTTCTTGATGTCGGCGCAGGGCATCATTTCCACGAAAAGATTTTCCACAAATATCACAAATCTTGGAATACATGTGCTGATGGACCAGCCTTAAATGTTGTGTCATAATATATTCAGAACAAAATCTTTAAGAATAAACAGTTTTATTTAGTCAATATTAACATATGAAAAATACATGGTATTTCTGTACTTACGTCTTTTCACATTCCGTACATTTCACCTGCTTCTCTTCTTCTGGGGCATGTAATTGATAATGTCTTGCGAGAACTTCACGACGAAAGAATGATTTGGAACAAATATCGCACTGATATATACGCTCTCTAGATCCGTGAAAAAATTGCACATGCTTTTCAAGCCCATGGCGATCGGACAGTAATTTTTCACATTGTTGACACTTGAAGAATTCTGGGTCATTATGAAAGTGAATGTGATCAACAAGTACACTCCGTCTGAGCAATTTTTTACCGCAACATTTCACATATCCATTAGTTTCATGCTGCTCACGATAATGAACTTTTAACACTGTAAAATTTTCCAATGATTTTTGGCATAAAAAACAAGACAATTTAAAATGTTGAGCAATATAATCATCATATTCTGATGTTTTATGCCGTGGTTTATTATCATATGGTTTCAACTTTGGTTTTGACTCTATTCGCTTTCGCTTTAGACCTCGTTTTTTATGTACTATTTTCTTTTTTAGAATTAATGGTGGGTCAACTGGGTGCAGTAGAGAGCTGTCGGTCAGTATACTTTTCGACTCACTTCCATTATCGGATTGTGGTATATGGTGCGTATCATCCATAAGCTCGTTGGACACAACTTCATATTTAATTTCCAAGTTTTGTACATTCTGATCTAGTTGGATATCTCCACTGTTGTTAGTATTAATTGGCAATATAAGTGGCTCCATTCTAACACTGCACTCTTTCAAACTGATTGGTACATGCTCCACCGCTCTTTTGTCCTCCTTTTGGCGGCGTGGACGCCCTCTCTGCCGCTTCGTAGGAGAGGCTAATTCGTCTACTGCATAAGGCTCTATTTTTATTTCAGTTACTGGTATCTCCATTTCTTGTAGAGACTTCAAAGTGTTAGTTGCGGCTATATGAGCATTTTGCACACGCACATAGAACTCATGAAACGTTTGGACCAGCTCCCAGCATTGATTACAGACAATTTTATTTGTTAAGATTAGCATCATGCTTAGCTACAATTTGGAAGTAATGAACATCGTTTGATTTTATTTTAAAACACTTTCCTACCTCCTCCTTGAAATGTTGATTAATTATCTCACGGGCATTTGCTGATTGTTCTTCCTCTGAGTCCATATTTATGTGATCATCGGAAATATCGACATTTTCCAAGCACAATATACAGGACGATTTATCAAACATTTCACGAATTTTTTAAAATTAATTGCTGTTGAAGTCAGGTTTTTATTCTTAGTTGGTTTGTATTCGCGATTGTAGAAAGATGTATACTGGATATTTTTAATTCTGCTACTTTTTGTATTTTTTTGTGTTATTTTCGATCGTAGACTATAGTCTACTGAAGGTATCTGAATATTTTTTTCCTGGCGCTTTCCTCTTTATTTTGGTAGAGTGTCTACTTTTTGTTTCGTTCCAGGTTTGTTTGGATATTGTCTTCGCGATTTGTTTGTTTGACAGTTTGTTTTGACATATTTTACGAGGTGTCAAGCATGATTTGAAAGTTGGCCATGTGTGTATGCCTCTCATGCCTCGGAAAGTGAGTGGTTAGGTGGAGGGTATATTAAATAAGGTCAAAGGACCATTTTGTATTTTATATAAGCTAGTTTTTTAAAAGAATTTTTTTTTTATTAAAATGTAAAGTGTGCTTCTTCCATAAAATGAACAAGTTGTGAGATTTTTGAATATTTTATGGAGTTGTTTGTCGATAGGATCTTAATTAATTCTTTAGCTGTCAACCAGTTTGCTCTATCTGGGATGGTAGTTCTTTTGCTAAACCGTATATTATTGGGATTGGGGTAGATGGTGTGACTCCTAAAATGCTCTTCGTAAAAAGTTGTTTTGAAAAGTTTGGATTTATTTTTAACTGTCTTGGAGCAGTATGCAGTGGGTGTTCGGCAGTACTCAATTTCTAATCTAACAAAGGCTTTGTAGAAGTTGATTGCGCTCTTAGGACTTAGCCCAGCTTTAATAGTTGTTATGAGTTTTTTTTCTGAGCTCACAATTACCTTATTGTAAAGGTCGCTAGCTGTTAGAGATGTTAGAGATGAGTTTATTTCCCAGCCGAAAAATTTTATAGATTTTATATTTAATAGTTATTGTTTAAAGTAACATGGATTTGTTTTTTTTTGTTCAGAATTGATATTAAAGCTTAATTAACTACAGACCAATAAGTTTTGATAGTTTTCTGTACTTTAGTCTTTTTTTGTATGAGTATTATTTTTACTATACGCCAGTTTTGTGGGATTTGTTTGAAAAATGTCATTTATTGCTGTGCGTGACCTCCTGCTGAGTTTTGGTTTTTTGTTGTTAAGTATATGTGTAAGTTCTTCATATGTTATAGCCTGATTAAATTTTCGGGTTATGTGTTGTTAATTTTTATAGGGTCTTGTGATGGTGTGATGTGTTGTTTTACCATATTTAAGAATATTTTTTGGTCTGTTTCATTTAATATTCTTTGGCTTCTGTTGTGGTAGTCTCCTCTTAGATCCTTGACAAAACTCCAGGCAGGTTTGGTGGTAGGGTTTGTGTTTATTTGTTTTATTTTTTCCTCAAAGCTATCTCGTTTTGACCATTTTTTCCAGTTTTTGCTTTTCTCAGCAAATGAGTCCAGGTTTTATATTGTGAAATTTTGAGAAATCTGAATGCCTTTGATAAGTTGTCATTCCACCAGTCGTTTATGTCGTATGAGGCGTTTTTTATTTCTGTTTTGAACCTGTTTTCAATATGTTCAGTTTCGACGCCTAGGTCTGTCTCTTCTAGTGCTCTTTATGATTTAATTTTCGATTATGATTGGGAAATGATGCCTACCTCTAATTCTAACAGGTTAAACTTTCCAAAGGTATTGGATGTTGCTGTTTGAAAATAATAGATCTAAACTGGAGCCTGTGGACTGTTTAATATCTCTTTTGTAGGTTATGGATCCATTATTTAAGCGAGAGTATGAACTGTGTGCCCCTAATGCTCATGTTCTGGCGTTGTTAAAGTCGCCGATTAGAAGAACATTTTGATAATTTTAAAGAAAATTTATGAGTTTAGCTATTTCTTCAGTAAAAGGATTTATTTGTATATTTGGTGGGAAATATGCTGTACACATTGTAAGATTTCGTTTTAGATTTTTGGTCTAGATTATTATAATGTCTCCCCCATATTCCTCATCTCTTAGTTTTTCTATTGTATTGAAATTTATTATTATTTTATTTTTCTACCTCTATGTGAAAATGTTTTGTTTAAACTGGCAATTTCAATGTTGTTGTTGTTTAGATCATATTCTATTGTGTTTATATTAGCTTTTAATGACTGACAATTAAATTGAAGAATCTTCATTTTTAATGTTAATGTTTTTGTTGATGCTGCTAATTTCTTGTTCTATGTAGTTTTTTGTTCAAATAATTGTTTTAGTGCGTGAAATTTTTTTAATTCTGTAGTTAGCTTTTGCTCAATGTATAGTTGTTGTGTCATTTTGAACAGTTCAGATATTATTTTCTTTAGTTCAGAAAGTTTTTTTGTGATATTCCGGCTTTGAAAGAGTCGGCGGTGGGCGGGGTGTGTACGTTGACCGTTTGGTAACGTTTTGTTTTCATGTACTTGGTTCTTAATATTTTTGTGTTTGTTTTGTATGTTGTCTTCTAGTTGTGTTAGTGGAGGGAATTCTGTTTCGTCTACTTGCAATGCGTCAAATCTATTATTGTTATTGGTTTAGTATGTTCTTAAAACTTCTCTTCTACTTATCAAATGTTTTTTTTACTGCTTTTATGTGGTTGAGCATTTTTTCTTTTTCCCAAACTGGACTTTTTTCTTGGTCTGTGTAAGTACGGTCGTCATTTTGACACAGTATGCAGAGTTTCTTTAAGCTGTTTGCCTTGCACTCGCTCTGTCCGCAGCTAAGACATCTTTTGACTTGCATGCGAGATGTGTGTGTCCCAGTCGTCCACAGTTTTTACATTGTCTCAAACTGGGTACATAAAACGATACCTCTAATTTAGTATACTCTACATGTTTCGAGCACCGTGCTTGGGATAAAAGCACGTAACCCTTTTTCGCCAAGTCTTCGTTTGTCGTAAAGTCGTTTGCTGCTTCATTCAATTTCCTTGGTGTTAGTTGTCCGTTTTTTCGTTACTTTGCTCATACTCCATTCTTTCTGTGCTGTTAAATTTATCCGTTATTGAAGTCATTTTGTCATTTGTACGTGTTATTAAGTTGCTTGCTAAGCCTTCATTTATTAGCTTTTCATTAATTTTTTCATTTAAAGTATAGTCATTAACATTCTTTTTTGGTTTAAATTGGTTTGTGTTCACAAATGTGAAGGTTTCAAAAGCATCCTCCGCTACAACCGAATTGGCTGCACCGGCAACTTGCCTGTTTTTTTGTTTAATGTCTAACATATTTATTTGGAAGTAGTCTAAGCACACTTTACCTGTTGTGTTATTTATATGTTGATTTATACACGGATATATATATATTGATTAAAAATATAAATTTTGAATACCTCCAATCACACCAAAGTCACAAACCGGAATGGAATGAAAGATTTCAGCTGGTTTGTTGTTAGATGATGGGAAAATAAAAATAGTCAATTGTTTACAAGGTAAACTAGGTGGCCACCTGATAAATTTTTAATTTATTTAAAAATTCGCTGTTTCAGATTAAAACAAACCAATCCGATATTTATAATTAGTTTTTTCAATTACTTTGTAAAACATAGTAATGAAGAAAACGAATTTTAAGGCGACGCTTATAACATTGTACATACATAATACATCCATTACAACAGTCAAAACGCGAGGAAACTACGAATGAGTTTATGATGTCTTATTGAATCATGCTGTGAACTTTGCCGGCCTAATTTGGATTTCAAGATCGTTAGGGGAGCGATTAATATTGGTAACAGAGAGTGCGGTATCTTGTTGTTATCCTAAAATATACTGATTTCTCCGATTTGAGAGTTCAAAATTAATTGAATGAGAAATCTCAACTTTAATAGAGTTTTAATGCATAAATGATTATCAACCTATTATATTTCTCAACCATTTTATTCAATAAATTAATATTATAACAATATAAATTCATTCGTCTATTCTTTTCTTTTGCTCTAGATCTTCTGCAGTATCCGCAGATTCTAATATGGATTCTAATTGCTTCTGTATCTGTTTACCCATTCCATTGGAATTATTTTTTTTTGCACATTTTTCAGCCCATTCCTTTGGATGCTTTCGCTTACGATGTGCATACATATTCGCATTTGAGTTGAATGTTTGAGGACAAAATGTGCAAGTATACAAGACCTCACCTGTATGGGTTGTCATATGCTCCTAAAAAAAGGTAAAGTATTAACAAATATCATGATAATTTTAATATTCTTTTACTCGTAAGTCATTGGGTCTTTTGAAAGCTTTGTCACACAGTTTGCACGCATGTTTCCTCTCTGTGGCGTGCATATATTTAAAATGGGTATGATGTGCTCGAAGTGTCGGCGATACTTTTGAACATATAGGACAAGTCTGAGGCGTTTGATACTCTACAGTGTGCATTACTTTCATATGACGAGCTAAACCATACTTTGTAGTTAATTGCGCATCACATAAATCACATTTAATTAGTGATCTTGGTAAACCGGAATGCTCTTCTAGATGTCGGCGCAGTGCATCATTACCACGAAAAGATTTTCCACAAATATCACATATCTTGGAATACATGTGTAGATGCACCAGCTTTAAGTGTTGTCTCATAATATATTCAGAACAAAATCTTTAAAGATATAAAGCACATTAAACTTTATATTAATAAAATTAGATAAAAGATTTAAATAATAAATTTTCTTTACTTACGTCTTTTCACATTGCGTACATTTGATATGTTTCTCTTCTTCTGGTGCATGTATTTGGTAATGTCTTGCGAGAACTTCACGACGAAAGAACGATTTGGAACAAATATCGCACTGATATATACGCTCTCTAGATCCGTGAAAATATTGCAGATGCGTTTCAAGGCCACGACGATCGGACATTAATTTTCCACAATGTTGACACTTGAAGTATTCTGGGTCATTATGAAAGTGTATATGATCAACCAGTACACCACGCTTGAGTAATTTTTTTCCACAACATTTCACGTATCCATTAGTTTTATGCTGTTCACGATAATGAGCTTTTAATACTGTAAAATTTTCCAATGATTTTTGGCACAGAAAACAAGACAACTTAAAATGTTGAGCAATATAATCGTCATAATCTGACGTTTTATGCCGTGGTTTATTATCATCTTGTTTCAACTTTGGTTTTGACTCCCTCCGCTTTCGCTTTAGACCTCGTTTTTTATGTACTATTTTCTTTTTTGGAACTAATGGAAGCTCATCATGCTGCTGTGCGGAATTTTTGGGCATTCTCGATTCACTTTCAATATCGGATCGTTGGATACAGTCAACATCATTGGATACGGCATCCATAATTTCGCAAGGCATTTCTTCACTCTTTATTTCCAAATTTTCTAAATCGTGGTCTTCACAATTATTAATGTTAAATGGCAATATAAGTGGCTCAATTCTAACAGTGCATTCTTTTAAATGAAATGGTATATTTTCCACTGCTGTGCTGTCCTCCTTTTGGCGGCGTGGACGCCCTCTCCGCCGCTTCGTAGGAGAGGCTAATTCGTCTACTGCATCAGGCTCTATTTTTATTTCAGTTACTGGTATCTCCATTTCTTGTAAAGACTTCAAAGTGTTAGTTGCGACTATATGAGCATTTTTCACACGCTCATAGAACTCGTGAAACGTTTGGACCTGTTCCCAGCATTGATTGCAAACAACTTTATTTGTTAAGTATGTCATCATGCTTAGCTACAATTTAGAAGTAATGAACATAAGATATTATTTTACAACATTTTCCTACCTCTTCCTTGAAATGTTGTTTAATTATCTGACAGGCATTTGCTGCTTGTGCTTCCTCTGAGTCGATGTTTATTTGGTCATTTGATATATTGGCTTTTTCCAAGCACAATATGCAGGACGATTCAAACATATTTACGAATTTAATAAAATTGGTTGTGGCTGAAATAAAACTTCTCCACAGGCTGTGTTAAAATCACAAAATTGAAAACAATTCTTTTTGTTTATAAGACAAGCTAGGTTGCCACCTGAAATAATATTTTAAAGAAATGCCGTTTCAGAACAAAACAAAGGGGATCGAGGGTATGCCACAATGAAATTACTCTGTAACACATAGCGAAAATTAATTGTAAGCTTATGAAATAAAATTGTTCTTAATATTTTCGTTTGTTTTTTTAACGTCTCACCTTTTGTTAAAAGGAAAATGTATATATTTTCAAAGCATGAATAGCTGTAGGAAATTAGCTATAGTCACCGAAGAAAAGCGCTTCAGGGAGATACCATTGAAGGCTTGGCAAGCCCTATTTGCCGATATTAAACTTACCCTCCTTCACGAGAGAAAAAATAAAAGTTTTCGACATTTATAACACATATAGTTATGTATTTTCAAAACAATTATATAAATATTAAATTTAGACACTGTTAGTAGAATTAGAACTTGTATTCGGAAGCTTTCCTTCTGTTCGGCCTTTCGATTCCGCCATTATATTAAAAGTATGCCGTGGTTTCTTTCTATCCGCTTCGTATTGGGCGCGATGTAAACGCTGCCTATGTTTATACATATTAGCACTGGAGAAGAATGTCATTGGACAATTAGGACAAGTGTATAACACTTTTCCGGTATGTACTGATGTATGCTCCTGAAAATATAATCAATTATTTTTATATTACAAAGATTTCAAACTCGTATATGGTTTACTCTTAGATCTTGTGGACGTTTGAAAGCTTTTTCACACATTGTACATTTGAATTTCCGTTCACATTCATGATTGAGATAAACATGTCGTCTGAGAGCACGAGCATTTGTGGAAACTTTGTTACAAATTTGGCAGCGATGTTCGCCACCCACATCTTCGTGTAGAGATTTCATATGTTGTTTAAGTCCAGCCTGATGTCGAAGCCATGCACCACATATTTGACATTGTTGGGGTTCAGGAGTGGGGCGGGGTTCATCGAAATGCTCTAACTGGTGATGTTTTTTCAAATAACTACTACGTACTTGCTTGCCGCATTTGTCACATATAACTGTACTTCGTGGGCCATGAGCGGTTTTGACGTGATCTTGAAGAGACCGGCTTGTTGGTAGTCTGAAACAAAAATTATGGTTAGCAAATCAGATCTAGATGTGTTTTCGACCATACTTTTTATTGCACTCGGTGCATGCATGCTTAAATTCTGATTTTGGTACATGTTTCGAAAATGTGTGTTGCTGCAATGCTGCTTTAGTAGCATATACATTTTGACATCCATCGCACTGAAAAGTCTTCTTTTCCTTCACTTTATCTGGATCAATGTGAGATTCTTCATGTTCGGTTAGATTTCGACTGTTATTGCAAACTTGCCCACATGTCTTACATTTAAAATGTTCTGGATTCCAATGTAAATAAATGTGTTCTGCTAATGATTTCCTCTGGGTAAATTTACGGCCACAACACATCATATATCCCGGATCAACATTATGTGCAAAACGGAAATGCTCACGTATCTCGGTGAAATTATGCACAAGCGCCTCACATATTGGACATATAAATTGACCGAAAAAACTTTTAATAACCCTTTCGTACTCTTCTTGTTCTGCCTTCCTTGCTTCGATTTCTTCACGCGACTTATGCTTAACAGGAATAAGTGGCTTCTCGCGTTTCCGATATTTTTTAGGTTTGACCACCTTCTTTTTTGGTATGAAAGCATATTTCTGCTTTGGTTCATAACTGTCGTCAGATCCTTCGTTGTCGCTGCTTGAATTGTCACTATCGTCTGTTCCAGATATACCGGCTATCTCACAACTTATTTCATGAGCATTATTAGTGCATTCCAAATCGCTATCAAATGCGGAACTTTCTACTTTTATTTCCAAGCTCGTTGCATTATCTTTTTTGTCAGGATGTGAGGAAGGAAGTACAATTTTGTTTTCAACATTTTTTTTAGGTCTACCCCTACGTCTTTTTAGAGGTTCACTTGTGCTATTTGGAACATTCATTCCAGCCATCATATCATCATGTTCATCTGCAGCTTCTAAGGCGCATCTGTTTTCTTTCATCCCAATAATTAGAGTAGAGTCTTTCATTAATATGGATAAAGGCAATTCGGTTTCGGAATCAATGTCGTTTTCTATAGAAGATGAGGTAATTGCATTGGTATTATATTTAATTGTTGTTGCCTCCTTTATATCCTTAACTTTCCGAGGGCGTCCACGGCGACTTCTCAGCTGTATGCCTTTAGTTTTATTTCTTTCGATGATTTCTATTGCAGCCAGCGACTCGAACTCCTGAACCTCTATTTTTACTTCTTAAAATATAAATGAAGATATAATCAATAACAATAACATTAAAGTATATATAATATATAATAATTAATATATGTATATATTACCAGATGCAACTAAGTTGTCCGAGGAATGAAGAATTTCTAAGTTATGCTCTGCATTTTGAATCTCAGACTTTAATTGGATATCTTGAAGAAATGGGTCTTTATTAGCTTCCTCGTTAATAACTTTAAACCTTTTTGAATCAACATGATTATGTAGCTCAGCTATTCTTAAGTAAAATACATGAAAATCTCGCAAAGCTTCCCAACACGTCCAACATATTCGTTGACCATCGCAAGTCTCCTTCTCGAGCTAATATTTATACACACAAATAAATGCATAAAGTTCCAGAACTATAAACACAAAAGTACTTACTTTTAACCACAGATGTTGGGATATTATACTGCCGACACCCCAATTAGTACCTTCCTTGGAGAAGATCCCAACAAAGCGTGCAACAGTTGATTCATCTTCTAGACATAAAGTGCACACCATTATTGGAATATATATTTTTCTAAATAGAAATCCTCAACAAAACATAAATTGTATTGTTTACATCAAACCTTGTGTTGCCACATATTTTTGTAGTGAAGTTCCAAACATGTTATTTTTAGTGGTATAAAGCTGTTGGAAAAAATTGTCAAAGCTATTAAAAAAAAATACTTTCTTATCGCCCATGTCGGCCCTTCCATTCATTGAGAATCTAAAAAAGAACATCATAAATTTGTTGAGGAGTTCGGTCGAAAATCGCTTTAGCGGTCATAACGCTCGTGAAATAATCTTGTTCGTTTTACAACACTTTAAACAAAGTAAATATTAACAGCTGACTTTATTAAAGTACATTGTAGCTACTAGCGACTAATAAAAGCTAGAATTTATCACCAATTTAGAAACCATTAAATGAATATATAAAGTTATGGATGATTTCAGTGAAGATTCCAAAAAGGAGCACTTGCGCCTCGCCGGTATTATCAAGGACTGTCATGACAACTTGAGGACTCAATCCAAATTGAAGGGTATGAATGAAGCATGGAATGAACATTTGCAAAACACTACACTACTAGCAGAGTATTCGACTGCCATGCATCGTTTAGCCTCAATTTGGGAAACAAATACAACAAATCCCAATTTATATGCGCGTAGTCGAGTAAAATGGACAATTGATTATTGTAAAAAATACTTTTTCACTAATAAGTATTTTTTGGAAAAACGTGAAAGAGAACATCGCTTATGGGAATCCTACGTAAATATGCCGCCCTTCGTCGACACTAGCAGCCTGAGAACATCCTTTCCAAATGTTATTAACGTGCTCGATGTTGGCAGTTGTTTCAATCCGTTTGCTGGGGAAAAAAATTTAAATGTCACGGCGATCGACCTGTTTCCAGCTACAAAGGATGTTTTAAAAGCAGATTTCTTACAAGTCATCACAGAAAACATTGATAAAATTGTTGTAGAAAATGGTGAAGTAAATCGTCTGCCTTGCGAATATTTTGAATGTGTTATATTCAGTCTATTATTGGAGTACATACCATCGCCAGAAGAACGATTGCATTGCTGCCAAAAAGCGTATGACTTATTACGTACAGAGGGCATACTAATTATTATAACGCCTGACTCTCAGCATGTTGGCAAAAATGCGAAACTAATGAAAAATTGGCGCTATACTTTGGGAACTTTGGGATTTTTTCGAATTTATTTTGAAAAATTACCGCATATAACATGCATGGTATTTCGAAAAACGATCGTTCCAGCAGTAGCTCAACAATGGGCTGCTCTGCATCGTGAAGATTACATGACAAATACAATAAATATACCGCAAGATAAGTGAAATGAATGAATGGACCTGAATTAAAGTTTTTTTTTTACAAAATAAATGAAATTAATAAAATTAAAAAAAAATTTAAACATACTTTTATTATCATTTTTACCTATACTCGGTATAACTTATTAATTCTATAATATCCTTTACTTGAAACGCTTTAAATTTATCTTAAAAATAATTATATTATATTATGTTTCTATATGTATGTATGTACACATATACATATATGCGCTTACATTGTTAATCTCTTTAACTTTTATTAAATACTCATTTCTAAATGTTGTTGCTGCACAGGCTCTGGATTTGTGTTGTTAAATCTCTCCACGCTCACCGTACTGTCATTTGTGTTGATTTTCTGCGCAAAAAATGCCGAAGCAGCACCCACAGCTTGTTTCGCTCTTGAAGCGGCGGTTGCACCCATAGCCTGGGCCATAATATTGGCTATATGTCGAGGTTTCTTTCTATCTGCTTCCCATTCAGCACGATGCAAACGTTGTCGATGTTTATACATATTAGCATTGGAGAAAAATGTCATTGGACAATTAGGGCAAGTGTATAACACTTCACCGGTATGCGTTGAGGTATGTTCCTATAATTTCATATATATAATTGTAAATTTTGATATTTTTGTGATTACATTAGTATATGTAATATATGTAATAATTACGGTAATTACATATAGTATATGAAGTAATTAATTATTACCCTAAGATCTTGCGGTCGTTTGAAAGCTTTTTCACACATCGTACATTTGAATTTACGTTCGCATTCATGATTGAGGTAAATGTGTCGCCTTAGTGCACGTGATGTAGTTGAAACCTTATTACAAATATGACAACGATGTTCACCACCCGAGTCCTCATGTATTGCTTTCATGTGTTGCTTAAGGCCTGATAAATGCCGCAGCCAAGTGCCACATATTTGACATTGCATTGGTTTTGGCACTGGTCGTGGTACTTCAGAATGCTCCAATTGATGATGTTTCTTCAGATATTGTGTACGTACTTGTCTACCACATTTTTCACAAATAATTGTGCTTTCGGGGTCGTGATTGTATTTCATGTGATCTTTGAGTTTACGTTGCGTTGGCAATCTGAAAGAAAAAGAAATTTCCCTTTCCATAAATATCTCTCTTAAATGCAGTAAAATTCATTTAACTTACTTTTTACTGCATAGAGTGCATGAAAATTTGAATTCTGATTTGGGAACATGCTTTGAAAACGAATGGTGTTCAAAAGCCGCCTTTGTTGTAAATACTTTCGGGCATTTATCACATTGGAACATTTTACGCTCCTTTGGTCCTGGCGGATTTACATGCGCCTCCTTATGTTGTTCCAGTTTGAAACTATCTGTTAAAAGTTTGCCACACGTCTCACATTTGAAATGCTCTGGATTCCAATGTAAATATATATGCTCAGCCAATGCTTTCCGCTGTGGAAATTTACGGCCACAACACATCATATAGCCGATATGCAAAGCGTTCTCCTCGGTGTGTGAAGCTCGGAAATGGCCTCGAATTTCGGCAAAGTTTTGTACAAGTAGTCCGCAGATGGGGCAGGCAAATCGTCCGAAAAATTGTCGTATTACTTTATCATACTCATCTTGTTGTGCCCGTTTTGCCTCGATCTCTTCACGGGACATACGTTTAGGTGGCACAAGTGGTTTCGGACGCTTGCGATACTTTTTGGGTTTAACAACTTTTCTTTTCGGTATGACAGCATATTCTGCCTTAGGTTCGAAGTCGGGTAGGCTGTCGTTTGAGTCTGAATTGTCACTGCTGGAATCGGCGCTATCATCTGACGCCGAACAACTTGCAGCGATATACTCTTGGTCGTCATCGTCAAATTCATCGTCACTATTTGTGTGTATAGGTTCATTTTTTACTTCTTTCTTACTTTCTTTGTTTTCAGACTTTTCTTTAGGTTTCTGTGTTACCGCGGGTGCTGAAATACCTTCTTCATTTTTAACTTTTTTTGGCCTTCCACGTTTTTTCTTCTCCGGTTCTGTTTGTGTAACAGTTGCAGTTTCAGCCGAAGCTTCTTCCTTAGATGCTGTACCAGACGTACCACACGAAGGTTTTGCTTCTTCTGTGGCATCGACTTTTATTGAATCACTATTCAAGAGTACAGATAGAGGCAATTCTGTTTCGGAATCGTCGTCTTTGTCGGATGTTTGAGGGCCCTCCAGTTTTATGCGCTTAGATGTTGTTTTAGCGTTTGATACTTTAGCAGGTCGACCCCTTCGTTTAGCACGTTGTGCTCTCTCACTAATCAGTGTCTTTTCTTCAATTATTTCAATTTGTGGTAGTAAATCTAAATCGTAGACCTCCAACTTCACTTCTAAAATTCAAGAAAACTTTTCGTTACTTTAATAAAATCGACTTTGTGCCAATAAACAAACCAGAATCGAACAAAAACTCATCTGCATTGGCAGAAGAGTTCTGTATCTTTTCCTCTAAATCCGGAGTTTCTTCCGATTTAAGTTGTATTTCTTGAGGCAACGGATCGTTCTCATGCTCCTGCTCAATACCGGCAAACGGTGTCTTCCAATCAGCGCGGTTGTGTACCTCAGCCACACGCTGGTAAAATATGTGAAAATCTCTTAGAGCTTCCCAACATGTCCAGCATATACGTTGACCTGTGCGTATATCCTTCTCGGGCTAAATTGGCAAACACTGCATTATATACAAAAAAATATTTTCTCACTTTTTTTTTTTTTACTTACTTTCAACCAAAGATGCTTTGCAATGATGCTGCAGACAGTCATTTGGCAGCCTTCTTCAGAGAAAATATCAATGAAACGCTGTGCCGGCGTTGTGCCATCATCCATGCATAACAAGCAGGTCATTATTGTAGTAGTATAACTAGTTTAACTCTAAATCAGTCTACTGGTTGAACATTTAGTTAAAAACACCTTTATAATATACACAAAATTCACAAAAATTGTATTTAAATTTCCAATTTGCTGAAATTAGACAAAACTGCAACAAAAGCGTTTGCAATACCATACAACTACAATACCCCAAACCAAAAACAAGTTTACAACAAAAATCTGTTTGACAGGCGTCATTTTTGTTACAACTAAACGTCAAATGAATTCAAACTGAATTGTCTAGTGCTGGTAAGCGGTAAGAGATTAATTTATTAAGAAAACAGTTTGAACATGAGTATAAAGAACTTATTTGTGTAAATTTCTAAATTTAAATTAGTAAATAAGAAATATTAAGCACTTTATTTTAAGCGTAAGCATTACATGCCTGTTAGACTTTTGTATTTTGTAATGTGGATTGGGTAAAGTAATCGTTTCTACAAAAATTGTGCAGCACAGAGTGTTTGAAGTATTTCAAATTTAAATCTAATATATAAAAGTTTAAAATAACGGTTGTTTTTTTTAATAATTTATTATCGTAAAAAATATTCTTTTATACAAATTACACTTTATTTTACTATATACATATATACCTCAAGCAAATTATTTTTGTAAAGAAAAGACTTAGAGTTCTTTGCTGTTCAAGTGTATTAAAAGCTCAAATTATTGTATTGTACATACATATGCAATACATTTTTATTTTGTTTTTACTATTTCTAATATTTAACTAAAAAAAACCACTTTGCAGGTTGTTTGGAATGTTTGTTCCCCAATTTGAATTTAATGTATTTATATAATATAAACAAAAAATATACAATATTAAAAATAAACTTTAAACCTTTTTAAATATGTAAATATTTAATTGGTTCATAAGAACCTGATCCAATGATACTTATTGAAAAAAACTTACTAAAGAAATTTATATATAATATTATTATTTCTTGCTCTCAGCTTGACGCACGCCATATTTACTCCAGAAAGTGACGGGGCATTTGATGCGTTTACCAGAATTCTTATGAAATACAGAACACTCATTAAAGGGTGGGCAATATAAATGTAATGACACTGCGGTATCGATGTGACTTGGATTTTCCACACGATGTAAGCCGAGATTATCTGAAATTAATAGAAATTCAAATAAATTCTATTGCCAAATAAAAGTTTAAAATTTCACTCCTACCATTTATATAGGCTACATCATTAACAGTTATTGTAGTGGAGCCTACAACATTCAATTGTTCCCTTTCAAACTCCTGCTCCTCATCACTATCGCCATTCACCTCACCAATATCCACATTGGGCATTTCTATAGCCTTGGAACATGGCATTTCGTAACGTGTCTCTTTTAGATCACCTTTTAGCATTTTCATAAAACAATGCGAATCAGCGTGATCATGAATCGCCGAACCGTGACCTTCACCCCAGCAAAGTATCATCAAATTGAATTTACCATTGCCGGCATCAACCAGATTTCGGGTATATTTGAAACGATCGAATTTGGCAAAACGTTTCCATTCACGTGGATGCGATTTATACGATAACATTATGTGATTCACCATTTCTATATTAACATAATTCGTATCGAATTCCTTATGTAACGCTGTGATTAAATCGTTTAAAGTCTCAATTGTTGGACCATATTTGAGTGGCTTTTCTATGCCACGAAAATGATGTGTAGCATCGCGTAAATAACGCTCCTGTTCCAAATCCGTGTCGCTGCTATCGACTATGGAATGCGCCATGGCGGTGCAAGTGTTATTGACCTAAGAAAAGAAGAATAGTTGGAATTAAGTTTTAGAACTTTTATAGTGATAAAGTGCAAATTAAAAAAAAAAGAAATCTTTGAATGAATATTTTTATTAATTTTTTTTTTCCTTTTTATACCACCTAACCGACCTTTGGGCATTTCCTAAATGTAGTATCCGATGAAAAGAAGGTTCATATTATTTTTATACGACCGGGTTGAATTCAGTTTGTGGTTTTGGTTGTTTTGAAAAACACACTTGAAGAATAGAAATATTTGTTAAACAGAAATCTCTCGATTTGCATTTTATTATATATTTTATTTTTTTGTTCGAAGTCATATAACTCGGGAGCCCAAGTTCATTTTTGAGCCACTGTATACATATATATTTTTATAATGAGGAAATATTATTGTATATAATTTGGCTAAAAAAAGCTAAAAATTCTTTATTTGCAGTATTATTTGTATTTGTGGCGATTTGTATACACGTATATTTAGGTATATATACTAAGGTACTTGTGCCAGAAACAAGCTTCTAAAATATTTTACGTCCCTCTAAATATATATGTAAATATTTACAAAAATCTGTACATACTTAGTGAATTTAAAAAACGTTAAGATTAAATTCTGGTTTTTCTATTCTTTGCTCTTTACCTTTTTCTACTACTTCTTTCCGCTTTATTATCAATATATAAAGATTTAATAATTAAAAGTACCAAATCTGGTGCAAAAAAAAAACAATGAGCTCGAAAGAGATTGTGCCATTTATTTAGTTATTTTTTTATTTTATTTCCTTTGCTTATCACCAAAAAAAAAGAGAGAAATAACATGCGTAGACATTTTTTTCCTGGATTATTAGGCTAATGTTTGCTTAAATTGCCGTAATCTCTAATAACAAATGTTTTTGCCATTATTTTGCTATCAATAATTTATATGTACAATATATGTATATTTGCTTTATTAAATATTCCTGTTAAATTATGGTTTTAAGTCAAAAAAATTTAGCGAATCTACGCAAAATGTATTGAAATGTTCTGGAAAGTTAAGTTTGTAGCATACGCCATGGTGGCTCTGGACGCAAACATTCCATCGAAATTGAATTTAAAAATTTCAAGCGTTCACACAGCCTTCAGGCAATTAATAAATGAACTAAATTGAGCACCTGTGTGAATAATTTTTAGTAAATTCTGTGTGTGGATAGAAATTACAAATTGAAAATATTTTTTTTTTTTAAATTATTTATACATATTTTTTATAACAAGATGATTTTTCCCGTAAAATATATATGTATGTATGTTTATGCATGACACGTGTCCAGCCGTTTTCAGCACATTTGTAAATAACAGTTAGATTAGTGATTGTATCGCTAAAAGAAATCAATAATATTTACAATAAAAAGTTGTGCAGAGTTAAAGATTATTCGCTTTATTAATTAAAAAAGCGTGTAACGTATTGTATATACGTGTATATACCTATTTGTATGTGCACTTACTACAATTAATGCGATTTAAGTAATTAATTAATTAAATTAATGTTTTTTTGTGGTAATGTTTAAGGGGTATGACGACAGTAGAATTTTTTAAAAATCGTTTTTTTTTTTTTGCTAAAACGATGCTTTATAGTCATAAAAATGATATGCCATTTAACTCAGAATTAAATAATCATTTTTGACTGATTGAAGGTATATATCGAAAGCCCACCTTCGGCTCGGCTAACTTATATGTGAAACTTTAAACGCGTTTTTCTCGAAACACTTTTTTTGAATTGGCGTGAAAAATAACTTGTACAATTTTGATTCGATTGACTTCAAATTTTGACATGTTTATTATTGCATTCCGCAAGGAAGTACGTAGGGGATTTTCGATTAATCAAGTACTTTTTTTTTGTTATGACTAGTTTATTACAGAATTATTGACTAAAAATGCACGTTTTCTGTTCAAATCCCTACAATTTCCATAAAAATCAATATTTTTGAAATCCCCTACGTACTTCTATGGCTATTGTCATGCAGATTAAGAACATTTTTTTGTTTTGTTCCAGGACAAGGATTATACATGCAAAATGTCACGCCGTGGAGCGCTTTAGAAAAATGGATGAAAAAGGGATCAGAAATATCGGCCATTTTGTACCGGAAAAAAAATCTAAGAAAATAGTTTCTATAAGCTTTATATCCGAACTTCATCGGTATGTGATTATTTTCATGAATAAATAATAGTTCCATACAAAAAAAAAATATTATATTTGCACATGGTTTTTTACCCGCTACTGTAGCCATACCCCTTAATATTTTTTTATTTTTATATATTTATTGAAAAATTTTAAGCATGAATTCGTTTAATTTAAAATAAGTTAAATTAATCGAATCTTCTACGTCTTCTGCATTTAATAGCCTGCTGCTATATAATAAATGTAAATAATTTTATATTCATTTGAGTCACTCTGTGCTCTTATCGCTATATTAAATCGATATTTATTTTTCAAAAACGTAATTGAAATGCATACTTATTAATATTATAATTATGCATGTAGGCATATACATATATATATATATATATATTTATACCGCTTGTAATTAAAAGTTAACGGTGTGTTAAGGTCAATAATCAGTGTTTTTTATCAGTGAATTAAAGCAAACAAAATATGTGTATGATAGGAACCCAAAAAAAAAAAATAAATAAAATAAATATAATAAAAATAAAAATAAATAAAAATATTGTGGAAAATTACAATGCGCAGCTCGCATTTGCTTAATTTTGGTTTTCATTCAATATGTTTTATTTGAACTTATTTTTTTTTTAGTAAGTAAAAATTTCTTTTAAAGTATCCTTTCTCCTAGCCGTTGCTAAAACTCACCCTTTATTTTGTTGTACGTCGAATTAGGCGTTTTTTTTTATTTTTTTATTTAAATTCAAAATCCTTTACGTTTTTAGCGTTTTTTTTTTTTTTGGTTATGCTCTTCAAAGACACTGGCTTGAACTCGACACGCACTCTCCGAATAAGTAAGTTTGAATGATTCAAGAAATGCCCATAACTCGCTGAGCTGAGATTGAAGCTTGTGATAGATTCCTTTAAATCTCTGTATACTACATGTATAACATATTTAAATATGTATATACGTATTTACCATTAGGTTCAGATTTTTATATTTCCATGATTATGTACGTATGTGTGTATATAACAATTATGTATGTATGTATTTATATAAAAACTGATGAGCGTTTATACATATTGACTAATTGATAATGGATCATCTACGGGTATATTAGGCTCTTGATAGGGTTTTTCACTTGCTCATCTGTTGCTTAGGTTTTTATACTCTTATTTTCTTAGCAGACATAAATTATAAAATATTTATATTAAATGGACTAGGTATTTATTGTTTTTTTTCTTTTTTTTTTTTACTTATTAATTACGTGTTTTTGTTTCATTTTTGAGTGCAAAGTAAAAAATAATTTTTATTAAAGCACATGATACGCCATACGTACGTATGTACACAGATATAAGCTATTAAATTTTGTAAGAAAACTGCAAGAGATTAGGTTAGGTCGACAATTAATAGAGGCGTTTTAGAAAACAAAACATGTTTTCATATTCATAATGACTCGCTATTGAAGAAAGTTGTATTAATTTAATATTTTATGACGTATATTTCTCCAATTCATGTCGAAATATGCGTCATAAAACGCAATAACGGTAGTCTCAAAAATAAAAAAATAAGAAGCAATAAAAATATTTACTTAGAAAAATGAATGAACGTGAAAGTGTATTCGTCAAGGTTTTTAAAAAATGAATACAAAAACAATATATACATTTTGTATGCAGAAGTTCGGCAGTGAGATATAGATTCGGGGTATCCTCCTTTAGATTAAGTCAAGTAAAAAGTTCGTTCTGTTTTTTTTTTATTGATTTTGCAATACATTTGTCCGATTTAAGTCAAATATACGCCGTTTTGTTCGTAAGCTTGTTGCCAACTTCAATATACCCCTCTCGTAGAAGGCAGCATCCCTATTGGCAAAAAACTCAGGGAGCCAATCTTCACAGGCCTTCTCACCATTGAGTGCGTTCGCCATGGACAGGAAAATATGGTAATCACTTGGTGGCAGGTCCGGACTATAAGTTGGGTGCATTAGGACCTCCCATCCGAGCTCCTGGAGCTTTTGGCGCGTCACCAAGCACGTGTGTGGCTTGGCGTTGTCCTGATGGAACACAATTCGTCCTCTCTTGATCAAAGATGGCTTCTTCTGCATGAGTGCTTCCTTCAAGCGGTCCATTTGTTGGCAGTAGAGTACCAAATTGTGCGTTTGGCAATAGGAGAGCAGCTCGTAGTAGGTGATTCCTTGACAATTCCAACAAACACACAGCAAAACCTTCCTCTTCGTCAATTCGGTCTTTGCCACCACCTGGGCCGCTTCCCCGAGTTTTGACCACGACCATTTGCGCTCGATGTTGTCGAAGGTGACCCATTTTTCGTCGTCAGTCAAAATCCGCTTCAGAAACGGGACGATTTTGTTGCGATTCAGCAGTGATTCGCAGATGAAAATTCTTTACATCATGTTTTTTTGCGTTAGTTCGTGTGGAACCCAAACATCGAGCTTCTTTTTAAATCCTAGGTTAATAGTTAAGACGGTTTTCTCTCACGTGACGGTCTGATTCCACTATTTCCCTGATTTTATCGCAATTTTCGACGACGGGCCTCCCGACCCGTGGTGCATCTTTGACATCGAAGTTACCGGAACGAAACCTATCAAACCACTTCTGTGCTACACGTTCGTTTACAGTATCGAACCCTTAACTAAATCAATTTTTTCAGCTGTTTGGCTGTTTTTTCGCCTTAATCGAAGAAAACTTGTAAAATATAGTGATTTTCCATCTTTGACGAGCGCCCACAACGTACTGAGCCAATCAATCGAAAAGCTGTCAAAGATAAGCACCGAACGAACTTTTTACTCGTCCTAATATAAAGGTTGTTTTTTTTTTTTTAGACGTGTGGTCTGGTGCGATCAACATCCAAAAGTTATAAATATAACATTAATTGAAATAAAAAGTTGAATTAAATTTTTCTCGTTAGGGAGTGTCAACCCTTCCGAGTGTATCGCCGACATTAAATATGTAAAAACTTCTCATTTTCCATTTTCAAGAAATCCTCAAGACGCAAACACACAAATTGGAGGAAGATCTCGGCCAATTATATAATACTTTCTTCGGAATATACACAGTTCGATTTGTCATTTCATAATGAACAGACTTACTCCGGAAGAAATAATATTCCGAAATTTTTCTTTTGCCTAGAGTTGGGCAATCGCATAACTATTAAGAATCCTATCCTGCTCAGTATCATTATGAAGCTGCTATAGCATCTTCTAAAACAGGATTCCAGTTCTTCTGCAGGCTCTCAAGGTACGCCAATGTAGGATGGTGTATTCTATTGCACCATCTCAAGAAGTGATCTACCTAAGATCAGCAATATGTCGATGTTCTTCGTAGTACGGAAGCTTGAATCCCATTTTAGCTCTTTGAAGGATTTTGCGAAAACACAGCACCGCTCAGTCATCGTGAAGATCCGGGAATCAGTGTCAAACGATTGGAGTGGATATCCAAAGTAATAAAACGTACCTCTCTATGTTATGAGATGGAAAAGTGTACTCCCTGAGGCCTTTGGCTTTCTAAATGTTTGAACACTCCACTGTTCTTGTTCCCTTAACCGAAGGGTTGCAGCGCTACAGTCACTAAAGTACAGAGCCACATAAAATCCTCAAGTAAATAACGAGAAACTTGCTGATGTCGCCTATAAAATATTTGCATAGTGAGGCAACCATGTTGTGCTGTGCTGTGCACTTATTAGAAGGCAAACCACACCTCCAAATACAGCAGGAAGAAAGTATTTATCGTTTCGGACTTCATTTGGTAATAAATAACATATCCGGTAGGTGCGACGAGCTAAGCTTCAGTTGCTTCGCAGGACCCGAGTAATGTCAGCACAATTGAAGTCTAAATACTGCTGCAGACTAAATTCCTACTTATACAGATTAGACTCTGATATACCCCATATACATACATACATGTCTCATATGTAATGAGCTCCCACTAAAATATACTCTAACAACCATCCCCCTCGTTCGAATCTGTCGAAACAGCTCATTTCTTGGGTCGCTCTATAGATGACCGCAACGACATCGATAATGTTTGCATCGAAACCTTTCAAAGTTGAAGTAATCTTATCCAATCGGATCACATAACTTAGCTAGCATAGCCGCTGAATTATGTCAATGCCACCATATATCTCATACAGCTCTTCATCATCATCTAAATCTTTCTCTCAAAAATTCTCAACGCCGACTTATTATTTGCCGTCATCGTCAATGCTTTTGCATCATGTAGAGTTTGGTCTCAGTTCGTCGTTGGAAAAAGATATTTCGTATTGTCCGCGTTCACTACCAGACCCATGTGGGTCTTATCGAGTCTGGCGAAAGCAGTGCACACATCGCGGTTGTGGAGACCAATGATGTAAATATTATCGACGTACGCCAGCAGCTGTACACACTTACAGAATATTGTGCATTTTTCTGTTCAGCTCTGCAGCTCGTATTATTGCCTCCGGCAATAAATTAAAGAAGTCACACAATAATGAATCATCTTTACTGAAATTTCGTTTGATATCGAACAGATCGAGGAGATCCTTGGCGATACTGACTGTTCTTTTTGGTTCAAAGGTTCGACTACTGGTCCAACCAGTAAAATTTCTAATTGCGGTTGCCCCTCGGCAGGGAATGTCAACACCTCCGAGTGTATTTCTAGCATGAAATGAAGCTCCTCATAAAAGTCATCAGCCGTTCGTAGGCGGCTTAGTATAAACTATAGGTTGGTGTTGTTGTTGCAACCGCAATAATATTCCCCAAAGTACTTTTTGGGAAATGTTGCGAGAGTGACTGTCCTTGGCCGGATAAAAATCCGCGTCGTTCCGGTATAAAGATCCGACTGTCACCTCTTACGACAGGCATGCCTTAACGCGGGTAAATTCTTGAACCCGTAACCCGCAGCGGTAGGTAGGGTAGGTAAACTGTAGGTCACTCCATTTGTTGGAAAAACATCAAGACGCACAGCACAAAATGGAGAAGAAGCTCGGCCGAAAATCGCTTCAGCGGTTACAAAACGTCAATTCGATATATGTACATATATATATTCTGACACTTTAAGCTCGCCTAGAAACTTTGCCTTGGCTCTCAAGTTTAAACTTATTTGTCTCTCTTCTAATCTTTTTTTTTAACTAACCCTTCCTCTTCTTTATAAATATGTGAATACATGAAAATCCTTAAAGCAACTTAACTCGATTTACTCACCATTTTATTACCGTTGATTCCTGTTATCCTTCGGCTGTCGTTATTTTCGCTGTTGCTCGTCGTCGTCTGCGTCGTTCTGTTTGACTCTACAGTTGTTTTTTCAGTATTTGGCGACTTCTTTAAATGCTTGCTTCTACACATTGGGGAAAACTCCTACTGATCCCGCTCATACCGGCGTTGAAAATGCCACACAGAAAATCTTTAAATTTTCAATTTTTCGTTTTCTTTGCTTTTAACGCGTAACTGAGCTTGTTACTCAGCTTATGTTTGATTGCTCGAATGCCGAAGAAAGTTTACACGAACTTTTACATACACGTATGTACATATGTATGCACATTCAATAGCAACAAGAAGCGCTGATCTTTTCCTCCTCCGGCGATCTTCACTTGATATATAAGATTTGTGTGATTAACTGGTGGTTGCAGCGACGTTTGCGTGTTGCATGAATATTCACGAGTTGGTAATGTTTTCTCAATGCACTTGTAACTCTTTGATTTTCACTAATTACTATTGAATGTTTATGCCGTTGCTTTTGGTTTTCTTGTTGCTGCTGCTGCTGTTGTTGTTGTTTACATGAATTGCTTGCATGATTTAGTGGCATTTGTTGTATGGCGGAGTGCGCGAGCTGTAACTTCGTCGATTGGCGCTGAAGCGTTTGTGTTGTGCAGCTGCACGATTGTTTGGCTTTTATGCAGACAACTCAGACAGCTCAGACGTCCGTCCGTCTGTTCGTCCACAAAACGGCCATAAACTCTTTCTGTTTTTATGTATGATGTTTTTGTTGTTGCTAGTTTCATTTTGGCTTTGGCTTTGGCTTTGGCTTTGTGGTTTTCTCAATTCGATTGGCCCTAACATCATTTGATCGCGGGTTCTTGCTTTCTTCGTGTGTGTGTGTGTGTGTGTGTTTTTATGTGTGTGTGTTTATGTGTGTGTGTTTATTTCTGTTGTAATTATTATCAATTCAAAATTCTCTAATCCCAGCGGTGTCATACTGTTTGTTGTTATTGTTTTCTCTTTGACTCTTCGAGAGTGTAATCCGCATTGGCGGTTCATTAACAGCAAGCAGGCAACAACAATTTTTAGTGTCGCATCGATCCCATTGGTGGCAACTACATACATACATACATACATATACACACATACACATACATACATACATACATACATACATACATATATACATATGTAGATATGTAAGTATGTTTGCATATGAGCATTTTGAGTGGCTTTAAATATTTTTTGTATTTGCTTTATTCCTGACGTTCACAACAGTAGCAAATTTCAGTGGCATTTTTGAGGTTATTAGCATAAATAACGGTAAATTAGGCAGTTATCAAAGTGCCTACACATTTATGCTTAATTAATTAAAGCGTCTATCGTTTTTATACTTATGTATGTATATGTGGCATGTACATATGTATATATATATATATGTATATATGTATACATATATGTGTTTGTACGTATGTAAGTAGATACAAGTGTTTTTTTCGTTTTCCTTTTCTGTTTTGATATCATTTTGCAATCTCTCCATCTTTTCTCATAAGAAAATACATACATACATACATATTTACCAAAGAGAAATGTTACGTGACCTTCGCTTATTAGCTCAACTTAGTCTTGAGACTCCTCTTAGGTAAATAATAAGTAAAAGTCGAGGCTGCACACGCTCATCTGATAAGTTCTGTCTCCGAAATTTCATCAGCCGCGTCTAGTTGGCGGATTGTGACAAATTAATTTGGAATAAGTGGAGATTAATAATACATATTACATGTGTGTCACAGCTGTTTTGAGCTGACGTGGTTTTTTCTTTAAAAAAAATGTGTTGTTTTTTTTTACAAAAACATCTAGTTTTGTATTTAGAAATGCAAACAGCAAACATTGTTCATCTTCTTGAGGTGCGTAAGCACCGCTTATGTGATTAAAATACAGTCGAAAATAGCGCGACAGTCACCTCTTAGAAGTTGGACTCTTCTCCATCTGATCTTTTGAATGGTCTTCTACCTTTATTTCCACCGTCGAGTGCTGCTTCGAAAGCCTTCGAAGCTGGAGTGTTGTCGACCATTCGGCCGACTATGAACTAGTCAGCCAGCATAGCATAACCGCGGTCGCTTAGTTTGCATTGTTATATAATTTTTGCGGGGATACCAAGTTCAGGCATAATGGTGTAGAGACTGTTCATTATCGAGCTATCGAAGGCAGCTTTAAAGCCCAAGAAGCGGTGTGGTGTGTCGATTCTTTTTCTCACCAGTCTTCTCCAAAGTTTGGCGTTTGGTGAATATCTGGCCAGTGGTAGATTGGCAATGACGACTACCACTACTTTTGTGTTGCAGCTTGAAATGCTACTACCAAAACAGTGGTGCAAGTGAATGTTAAGTGTTCGAGCTTCGAGTTCTTTGAAACCATGTAACTAAATGCATTTCCTTGTGCTGGAATATAATGCGGCCCCACCGCGAGATCGATGAGCATCAATCCATTTTAGAATGTTTCGTCATAAACGCTGAATTTTCTGCCAATTCTGTCGAAGATACCTTATTTGCCCACCTTGTCGTTAAAAGTCCCCAAAAAAAGTTTTGACCTCGTGTTGATGACAGCGGAGTTGTCCTACGCCGCTATGTCTGAATTTGGTATCCCTACAGATACGGCATTCGCGTTCTGTTATGTAGTGCAGAAGGGTGGAGGATTTCAATATCCGTTTAGTCGGCAGTGGGAGATTTGGAGAGAAAGGTTTTGCGTAAGATTTATGGTATTCTGCGAGATGAAAATGGCATAATAGCGCAGCCGATGGAGCGATGGCTTGTACGTGTTATGCGGCGACATTGATATAGTTCAGGGAATCAAAAGACAGGGACTACGTTCTCAGGTGGTCCGGATGGATAAGTATCTCCAGCTTTGAAAGTTATCGATGTTTTACCCGCCGGTATTAGCAAAGGTAGAGCAAGATCTCCGCTCATTTGGAAAGATCTGGTGGGGAAGAACCTTACTATACTTGTACAAGTATCCAATTGGCGTCAAATAAGGAATGAATGGCGCACTGTAGTTCACTCTGTTAACATAGCAGTGTCTACGGCACATTTATATATGACTCAAGCGATAAGAGAACTTCCAATAAACAGAAAAACAATCGTTGAGATAAACTAAATCTAAATAAAGGTAGGCTTGTCCTACCAAAAAATGATTAAATTGGTTCATAATTATATATTTACATACATACCTACATATATGTAAATATATTCACAAATTTTAAACATAACTTTGAAAATGTAACGGAGAAATTCTTCAACATTTGCTTATTCTATTTTTAGATTTTAAATTATTTCTGTGCCTCTGTGTCTTGCGCTTTCTTTTTAAGCTTTTATGAAAAGCTCTCCATTGCTACGCTCATTCCAATGTAGTGCTCTAGCACATATAAAGATTTTGGCACAATAAATACAACATCCTCGATAGTATAGTGGTCAGTATCCCCGCCTGTCACGCGGGAGACCGGGGTTCAATTCCCCGTCGGGGAGGAAGTTTTGGATTTAATTTTTTTTTAATTATAAAAAAATATCTTTTTTTTTTTAAATTATAATAAATTTAATTTATTTAATTATATTTTTTTGAATTATAAAAAAATTGCAACCAAAAGAAGATTATTAGAACTAAAAAAGTTTATAAATTCTTATATAGTATGTATAACTTCGTTTATCTTGGCATATTATAATAGCACTGCGGAATCGCTTTGCCTTAGTACCTGCGAGAATACGAATGGTACGGAATTTTCGACCAAGGTAGGGGTATTTAATGGTTAATAATAACAACACGCATCATTAAAATTAATTAAAAAAATATTTAGAAAAAGGAATCTTAAGCAAGTATACATATATAAAGAGTCTTTTCATATGAGAAAATGTTTTTAGTTTAATTTTTTATTTTATTTAGTTAATTTTAATTTTATACTATTTCTTTTATTTAATTTCTGTTTTATTTTCTTTTCTTTGCATTTATTTTATTATTATTCTTTTATTTTATTTAGTTTTTTATTTTATTGCTTAATTTTTATTTTTCTATTTAATTTTTTATATTAATTTGTGTTAATTAGTTCTTTTATCTCATTTAATTTTAAGTAACTTTTAATTATTTTTTGTTTTTCATTTCAATTAATTTAATTTTATTTTTCTCTTTCATTTTAATGAATTATTTATTTTATTGTTTAGTTTTTTCTTCTACTTAATTTTTTATATTAACTTGATTGATTCTTTTATCTTATGTAATTTTAAGTAACTTTTTTTTATTTTTTTTTCATTTCATTTAATTTAATTTTATTCTTTTCTTTCATTTTATTTCACATATTTTGCAATCTCAAAAATTTTTTTTATATAAATTTACTTTATTTTGTAAAATTATTTTTTTACACCAATTATTATTATTTTGTTTGTTAATTTTAGCTAGTCTTCCAAATGCCAATAATTATCGTACAAAAATTCTTAATTAAAGCAAAAATTGTAAATTAGTAATCTTTACATATAGATTTTATTTAAATAAAAAATAATAAGAGAAAGTTATCAAGTAAAAAGCACACATTTTTTTCCATTACTTATGCATTTATTAATTTTTTCAAGCATACATATACATACATATATATAAAATTGACGGTTTTAGGCATTACTCATATGATTTAGTTTACGGACATTTATCTTGATACATAATAATTGCCTTAGTACATACATTGTAGTTGTCGGTTGTTGTTGTTATAGCGTTTCGCTACCCCCGTTAGATACATGTTTGATCAGTCTAAGTCGGTATATCAGTGCACTTACTCCTCTCATCTTCGTTCTAATAGGTTCGTGCGTACGGTCGTTTTTCATATCAAAGTGCTGTTGTTGCTTTTTGGTTGTTTCAAGGGATAATGTTCTAGCACATCTCCTATCATAAAATCATTATTTGCACTTTAATACATAAATTTCTATATAAATTTTATATGCATTTAAATGGACCTAAAATAGGCAAATACAAATGTATATACATATGCACATATCAATATGTAGGTATATTCACAAATTAACCCTTTTTTCTGGATACATTTAAATTCTTAATGGTTAATTCATCATAGAAAAATTCATATTATATAAATTGCATTATTCATATTTATCTATGTATGTATTCGCACAACAATAATAAAATTAAGCTAAAGACAAGTAACTCAATGCAAAATACGAGTATTCGTTACAGCAATTGCTTTGGTGGAATTTTTTACATATCGTCGCCGTCAGATATTTCCAAATCAGAGTCATCAAAGTCGATAATCTAAAGAGATAAATAATTTTTAATTGTATTTTTAAATTTGCAATAACTTCAAAATTAATTCGCCACCAACCGTGCTATCCAGTGCCTTGAAATCAGAGATTCCAGTCAAGTCTTCCAAATATTTGGCTGTTTCGAATGCCTTGAATAAAAATGCATTTCCTTGTGAGCGATATTCCGAGATTATTTTCTAAAAAAAAGAGACGGAAAAAACGCAGCACGTTTTTAAGGAATTTTTATAATTTCAAATTTTATGTACTAACCTCCGAACAGGCAATACACTGTGAGAATTTCTGTGTTGCCGGCAAAATATTTTCAAAATTACATAGCTGCCCACGTATCGAGTGCGGTATGACGCCGAGTAGACCTTCTGGTACTTTGCTCTCCGGTTGTCCGCTTGCACAATAATAGGCGGGCGCATGTTCGCGTTGTGGGTGTTGTAGGAGTGAGACTAACAGCTCAACTGCATAGCTTGCTGCAATGCAGGAGACGCCTGGTCGGGTGACGGTACATTGTTGATCCAAAGTACGATCCTTGAGAGACTGAAATTTAGAATTGAATACAAAATTATTTAACAATATTGAAATAAAAGCTGAAATTTAATGATAACATAATTTTATAACTCGGTCAGTGTAAAGATAAGTTAAGTGGCGGTCGCAACAAGATCGATTATCCGATTTTCTGCAGAGCTCCTCTTGCGAATGGCCGATGGATTTTTATGGCAGCATTTATTTCAGGTGAGAAATGCACTCGGAGGGCTTAACATTCCCTGCCTAGGGCGATGGAAATTTGAAAAGTTATGTTTTTAAATTTTTGGATGATGATCGAACCCTGGCCATTCGAATTACCGCACGCAATGCTGACCACTCGGTTATTGCGGCCGGCAAGCGCAAGGCATATGCTTATGAAAATTAAGTAAGCGGTGGGATGGAGTCTTCTTGCCACTATTGTTCGAATTTTATATTTTGAAACCCTCCACCACCAGAGGGAGTCTCTTCAATTTCATACGCCGAAAGTAAACTAGTTTCACCACTTCACTGTCCGACATTTAGGTCTTATGGTCATAGTTGGTCGAAGGGTACTAAGTACCCGCTTGATGTCAGTATTAATATTGAGGACGTTGAAATTCCGATTGTTAATAAGCCAAAATTACTAGGAGTGACATTCGACTGCTTGCACCGACGTATCCATCTCGACATGCTACCTACAAGCTCTAAACGGCCTTCAGAGAGAGTCAGTCAAATCCATCTTCAACTCCCTTTCAGAAAAATGTCGTCAATGGAATCCAACTATATAAGTATTGCACCTATTTGTTGCCGATATACCCAACATATGCCCAGCGTGGCTCATGATACATCTTTACACCTTTCGGTCAAACCATATAAAAATCGCTGGTTTCCTGGGTCTGCCGTCAAACGACCTCGACGACATCGCCCAGCATTGCCTGCTTTTAACCTAGCCGTTGCAAGGACAACCAAAACATCAGCAGGCGGGGGTCCAAATCGAAGGAGTACCTACGATGAAGTCTGAATAGCAATTGACTGCTTGGAGATTTCTAATCGTCGGGCATGCGCTCATTTGACCAAATTCGAAAACAGGCTGATACATTTTTGCCGCCATATTTGGATAGCTCAGCCGACAAGCCTTCGGTTGGAGTAAAGGGCTTACCGTCTGGAGCATCAGCCTCTTACCGAATTTGGTGAAATGACGATTAGAATCTCAGTGTGCTCTGTCCAATCAAAAAAAAAAATCCCACAATCTGCGTAAATTATAGTAAAAAAGCTTCCTCAATATTGTAGTGTGTGAAAGACTAAAGCCACCATCAATGAACTGTTTGAACTTTATTAGCATGAGGTCCTACCCGGCAACATTGACCGGTTATTCTTAATCCAGCAAGTCTCCACTTATTTGTCGATTTTAAAGCTACCTTTGATAAAACAAAAAGGTGTTGCCATTACGATGTCTGAGTTTAGTATCTCCATGAAACTTTTACGCTGCGTAAACTGACGCTGAGTAACACCAAAAGCTCCGTTCGAATCGGATTGAGCTTCTCGGAGCTGTTCGATATTTACCCGGCAACTTTTTTAATTTAAAGCTGAAATAAAAACGAGCTATTGAGCTAACCGGGTGAAATACAATCTCTTATCGTCTGACGTCATCAGTCTCGAAATCATGGACGGTGACATTTAATCAGTCGAAGTTTTCGAGAGAAAGGTACGAGATAAACTAAGGCATTGAAAGAGTTTAACAAACGACACACAGTTACTTATTCGGCTATCATTGTGTAAGCGGTGGCCGCGCCAATAAAAAAGAGCGGCTAAGATGGTTAGGTCATGTAGTCCGTCGGGGCCATAATACTGCATCTTTGTAAGCCCACGACGCAATACCCGCCCAAGGGATAAGGCGAAATGTAGTTAGATCTTCACTCCGGTAGAAATATTAGTCCAAGAAGCACACGGGTTCACATGGTGTATCGAAATTGGTGCCAAACGGCGACTAGCGCGCTTTTGTTAACTCCAATATAATCGCGTTAGTAATGCTCGCGTTAGTCAAAAAGAAATAGACTGCTGTAGCTACCAATCGGGGGGAAAATAACAAAGAATTTAAGGAAACTTTTATATTATCTTTCACTATCTCTGCTAGCCATTAAAACTCTTTTAACAAATTTCATTTGATTTTTTGTATGCCTCACTCTCACTAAAAACAATTTTATTAATAATAAAAAGCCTCAACGAGTTTGCAAATTTTGACAATCAATAAAATTTTCGCACTTACAAATATTAAGAATGCGATAGCTGAGAGAAACCGAGGTAATAATGACGTTTCACTATAGGAGAACTGTAAACACAACTATGTATGTCTGCGCATACATATGTAAATAATTGAGCAAAAATCCAAGGCTTTGTTTGCCATGAGTTTATTTGTTTATAATTTGTTTTTCTGAGCACGAAAAGTGCACAGGAACAAAAAAAATGTAAATAAATAAATATTCAAATCAGAGAGCAAAGAGTAAAGAGCTTTTGCATATAAAATAGCGAGAAGCTCCAGTCGTACACAAGTAAAGTTTTGTGTGCGAGCGGCACATGATGGCAATTAAATTAAATGTGACGTAACTAAAGAAACAAGTTATAAGTACAACACGCATAAAACAACAACACATACAAGGCAAGTGAACAATTGTGGAAATGGAGCAATTGAAGGCGCCGCACTCCGCGCCGACAGCGGAAAGCAGAAGTATGTAAAAATGTGTGCTACAGAAACGGATGCACTGTTCATTCAATGCGTAAATTAATACAACTCTGCGCCTAACGCATAACAGTTAATAATAAATATCAAAATGTGAAATGAATTTCTGCCCAAACATAAAATGCTGTTGCTGATTTTTTTTTTGGGCAAAGCGAAACTGAAGCTATTGCGATTCCCAGCAATTTACAATTTACAATTTGCAATTTACTTGTTGCTTGGTTTGTGTTTGTTTTGTGTGCTGTTTCTAGTTTGTGTTTTGCTGCGCTTGATGACGCGGGTGCTACGTGGAGTTCGCAAGCGGAAAGCTAAAGCCGGTGGTAGAACAAAAATTTGCAGAAAAGAAAAATAAATAAACACATGATTGAACTTCTGTTTTGTTGAAAAGAGTATAAATAAACAAAAGTAATTAAATAGCTGTGAATTTTTATGTCATTATTAGCAACACAAATTGAATACGAGTGTGTGTATGTGTGTGAGTGTGTGTTAAACTTGCTGACTGACTGTAATAAAATTCAAATAGCGCCTAAAGTAAAAGCATAGAAGCAGACAAATAGAAAATTAAAAATAAAAGAGTAAATATGTAAATAAATATGTTTGTTAATACAATATAAAAAAGCATATTTAGAAGACAAGCGCAATTGTTTATTTAATGATTAGATAAAATAGTCACCAACAACACAACAATAAATAAGAGAGGAAAAGTTACTACTACATACATACAGCTGAATAAATGGAACATTATCTTCACTGCCGTAAATGTATATGTTTGTATGTATGTCTGTATGTCGGTACACAGAGTTTTTAAAACTTTAAAATGTCTAGTAATAATACGTCGCTGATAACAGTCGCAACTGTTACCTTTAAGCAGTTGATTTTTGTTATTTGTCAGCACCAGATCGAGAGTAATTTTTTGCGTTGAAAAAAAAAAAAAAAAAAACGTGCGCGCATATGTATAAATATTAATAATTATTAACTCCATCGTTAGGAAAAACGGCAAACACTTTCTTTTATACTTTCTGTGTGTACTGTTAAATAGAACAAGTTAAATTATTCTAAATAATTAAGAAAAAAATAAATAAAATGTTGACAGAATTTGCGGGGAACTTGGCACGTAATCTGGAGTTTGGACATGCCTTGGAGATTGTGGCGAAAACTATTGACAGTGCTTCAAGGTAAGTGGCGTGAGCGTTTGTAAATTTACGCATTTAAATTAGAGTAACTTTTTGGCTTTAAATAAAAAGAAAAACACGTACACCAACACGTTTAAACTCAATCGCAAGGCACTGACTAGTTTCCCAATGTGGTTATTATCTTAAGTCGAATTTTATTGATAGGAAAGTGATTCACTCAAAAGCGTTTGAATTTAGCAAAAGTTACACTTTTTTTTTGCTATCACGCAGCATTATAGTCTAATATACGGTGTAACGTGTTATACAATACAATAGCGTATATGTATGTATGTACGTAAATATTTTTTTGTACGCAAATATGTATGGAAAATTGTGATAACATGTATGTATGCTCTAAGTGTAATCAACTTTTAGAAATAATGAATAATCAACATTAATTATAAATGTTTAGATAATAGATGGTATTTATTTATTTAATTTGTTGCATTGTAAATTTTCGTCAGCAGCGTGAATACAAACAAGAGGCGCTATATTTTTATAATTTTCACATTAACAAATTAATTAAATAATTAATAATTAATTTGCAAACAGAAAAAAGCTAGACGACTGAAATATTTGGATATGAAGAGCTTGAGAGATTGTGACGACTTATAGAAGGTTTTAAAATCTGATATACTCATATTGGAGTGATGTTTAACGCATGCTGAGTTTATGAAAGGAACACCTGACCGAATTATTTACAATTGTCAATCACTCAGCCAATTGATTTTACCACCATAATTCAAGATGCAAATATTGCCTATTCTCAAAACAGTTTAAAATACAAAAAATACTAGTTCAATTTTGTACAAAAAATATTGTTTTAAAATAATTTATGGACATAAGGTACATGGAGATGACCATTTCAATTAACTAACTGAGAGAGAGTTGGCTAATGAAGTCTGAATATGCATTATGCGTCGGAAGGCGATGGTCTACCGCCGAAGAACTGTGCGTCAGCCTCTGGTCGGTTGAGATGAAGAGCGGCCCAACGGCCTGGGCTTCTTTAATATCGCAATAGAAATACGTTTTTTTTCCAACGGTAAGAAACTGAGCGGATCTCATCAACGTGGTTTCAGACTAAGTACGTCATATTGGAAAATACCCTTGAGAAAACGCTCAACAAACACCACCTACATATTTGTTAATTTTAAAGCGGTCGCTGTCAGCAAGGAAACCAGTTGGCTTCGACGTCGCTAGTCTGTATTTAGTACTATGCAAAACTTACACGGTTGTGTAAAATGACGCGGAATAGCACCAAGAACTAATTAGGAATTGGTAAGGTTCGAAACTAAAGGAGTTTAGAGACAAGGTGACTCTTTAACGTGTGAATTCTTTAACCTCATGTAGTAAAACCAAAACAGCAGCTTTTTGAACAAAAGACCAGTAGGCCAAGTAGTTCTGACTGCCAACAAGCCAAAGTTGCAAAGGAAGTGACGCTGCTACTGCAACAACAACACAAAGGAAGTGACAGTACCGCAAGCGAAAATCCTCAAAGATAGAAGTTGTTGTTGGCAATTTACAAGACATTTTTTTTGGCCAGTCATAAATTACGCTGTACGGATCTAGACGTCGAGTATTATAGGCAAAGACCTTAGGGGAAAATCAATTGATATCATACGAGTAATGCCGCGGAATTTATTGGAATTTAGGCGCATCTTATGAGTCGTGCCTTCCCGGCGAGATATCTATGCACCCAGTTATGGAACATATTGACATACTTTGAAAGCAAGAAATTATCTACCTGCAGTTAAATACACGGTTGATGAAGAGCCGCCTCCCAGGCACATCAGGATAGAAATGTAAAAGATATACTTAACAAAACCGCTGGAAACGTCGAAACCGTTCGTTTCCTTAACCTAAAAAAAACGCTAAACAAGAAGTCTAAGAGAGTTTAAGAGGGTTTCTTACCCCCATGCAGACAGCTTCAAAAATACCAATGCATCCTTTAGTTTAATTTTAACTCTTTAATATTCCAAATATCAAAAAATATTTAATTCCAATACCAATTTTCAGGTTTCACATCAATTTATCTACAGCCAAATCGGTGATAGATCCAAATGCAGATATTGGCCTACGTTTCGCCTGTTTCTTTCGAAAGGATATGATTGTACGGAATGCACGCATCAATGGCGTGTGGGGCGAAGAGGAAATACAGAATATAGATAGTCATTCCTTGTCAAATCCCATTGAATCGGGCGAGTTCTTCGTAATCTATATATTGGCTTGTGAAGAGCGATTCCACATATCGATTAATAATCGACCATTTTGTACATTCAACTATCGCATGCCATTGAAAGCGTTACGCAGCATCGAGATATGCGAACAAATACAGGTGATTAAGCAGGTGGATCATCGTGCTGTCTTCCCCTACCCATGGCCGGCAATACAAGCATCCGATTTTGGTAAGGCTTTCAGCAATGATTCGCCCATCATGTTCAGTCCGGGACATTTAATTGTCATAACGGCACGTTGTTTCGACAATAAGAAGGGACAGTTTATAATAAAATTTTTGGATAGCGATTCGAAACGAGAGGAGATGCATTTCAGTGTGCGCTTCGATCAGAAGGCGGTTGTGCGGAATTCAATGAATAAGGCGTTCGAGTGAGTTTTTATGAAAGAGTTTAATATTGGAAGATCGTCGTACACAAAAGTCTATTTTTTTCTTTCTCATTCTTAGATTTGGTCAAGAGGAGCGCCATGGTGGTTTTCCATTCGTTTTTAATCAACAATTTAAGCTTGCCATTGCATTTACGGAACGTGAATTTCTTACAGCCGTGGATGGTTACAATTTCTGCAGCTATGCCTATCGTACAACGAACGTATTCCAAAATCTTGTCGGCTTCAAAGTGACCTGCATAAATGGCCTGCACATGCATGTGACAGGTGTGGATCACTTGCAGATGGGTGATCCATCTTGTACGGGCTTCGAAAAGTATTCAAAACATGATTATGAATGTGCTTAGCCAAATGGCTGCTAAATATATGTATGTATGTAAGAATACATACTTTTTTGTACAATTACTTAGTTTTAGTATGTAAAATACCAAAAATATTTCAGAAATATACTTATATTTGTATAAACATATATACATACAAATGGTCCGGTTTCATATGCGTGGATTTTAAATGGTTTATGCTAAAATGGAATATTCAAAACGCTTCGCGAATATTTTAGAGAAATGTTTTCTATAAATTTTGGAATTTTAGAATACTGAATTTTTGTTTCGCAGCAGAAAATGCAGACCATAAATGAAAATGGCCATATTCTTCAAGTATTTTTTTATGTATTAAGTATGTAAATATATACATACATATCGCTGAAGGAATTGGAGCACTGAGCGTTGTTCAATATTCTACATATTTACATATTTAGAAAATTAAAGCAGAGAAAAATTGGTTTCCTGCTTTCCATAAAAACCCCTTTTAAATAGTACAGTTCTTTTTTTTTTTTTTTTTATTAATTTATCAGTGAACTTGTAACTTCTAATGCAAATTACAACTGAAAATTGTACTAAGAAAATTATGGTACTTACATTTCCTGGCGCTGTGACATCATTACAAAAGTAGCAACCCAAATTTGCGCCACTTATACACTTCAGATCGCCGATATCTATTGCTTGTGGAGCATCACCAGCTGCTTGTTCGTTGTATTGTGCGCCTGCGCCATGTCGCATTACTAAGTAGCTATCGAAGCCTAAAGCTGAGTTTATAACAATCTGTAGAACGAAAAAAAAAATCCAATTGTGAATCAATATATTTTGAGTTGCTTCATAAATACCTTCCGAAAAACGTTGCCCAACATTGTTGGCAGCCAACGGCTTTCCCTGGAATCTGTTAATAAAAATATGGCATCATGTTCCTCTACTAACCGTCTAATAGTATTCAAATTCTCATTGGTTTGCTCTTCCAACGACGCACCAATGGTGTGGCCCGGCATGGGAATTTGCATAACATGACCGGTAGAGATCTTAAAAATGGAATTATAAAAACAAATGTATTTAAGATATTAATATAATTGTGCTTATATTTGTACACACCGCAGTTGGATTAATTTCTTTCACACGTTTCGCAGCCGTTTCCGCCTTCATTGCATTGCCGGCAATGGCATCTGCGTGTGTGTAGAGTGTTTGTCGCAATGGATTTGAATAACTAACACGACCACTATCCACAAAAGTTATATGTTTAAAGCCCCAAGCAAGCAAATTGCGTGCAACATTACAACCAAGAGTGCCGGCGCCAAACAGTAGACATTTTGTATTGCCAATAACATCTAAATCTAAATCGGGCACTAAACGCCATTTCATCAATTTCAAATTCAAATTTATCGCGTTTTCCACCAAACTGAAAGGGAATAATATAAAATTTATTTATGGTATTTATATAATTAGACCGGATTACTTACATAGTAGGATCCATACTATCGCGCATAGAAACCATGCGTGGACCCATTTTATTATTACGATTTGGCTCCCAACCAACGAATTGTGTCTCATCATCGAAATGCACCGGGTCCGCTTGTATTACAGTCCAAATTAGACTTTTGCCATAACCGGTTTTGTTATCGAAACGTAAGCCTAAAAATTTAACGGCTTTACCAATTAAAGCAGGACTAAAAAGAGAAATGAAAATGAGTGAAGTATGAAAAAAAAATATGATTTAACTAACCATTTGTAAAAAATATACGTTGCATAAACTCGCATCAGCCATGATGGATGTTCAAATTCACTCGGATCAGAGAACGCAAAATATATGTCAGCACTTTGATTCGCTAGTTGCGTAGTATCCGCAGCTAGTATATCTTTCAATTCGAAAATTGTGTTCTTCTCTGTGGCCTTGACTACACAGAAATTAGGTTTTTGCTCTAGACTTTTAATCAAACTTTCTAGATGCGCCAATTCTGGAATGTCCGACAATGGTTGGGGTGAGGAGCCATTTTGTACCTTTAATGTTGGCGATAAGGGGCAAGTGAATGCAAACCAATAGTAGTAATTGTATGTTGTAAGATCCTGCAAAAGTTAAATGTGTTGAATATTAAAAAAAAATACAAATATGATTATTGGAAATTATAACCGAAACTTTAGCAAAATATATTTTAAAAGGAAACTTTATATAAATGAATTACCCATAATACAATTATAAATAGTTATTTCGTTTTTTCATGCAGCCAATACATATTCACATATGTATGTAATAACATACATATATGAGCATAGTATATGTAAAAGTGACGTCATATTTTACTAGCATGTAACTCCTTACCGCAAAAGACAACACAAAAAAACGCGCAAATAATTTTGGGTCGTCCAGAACACGGTCATTACGAAAGTCATCCAATAACTTAAGTCCTTCCGAACGTAACAAATCATTTTTATCACACGCCTTAAAATCTTCGATTGTATTTTTGTTGTATAGTGTACCGATTGCGGGATAGTAATGTCTAGGCGCCGTGAAGTCGCTGAAATGTTTTTTTTTTTTTTAGAATTATTTGTGTATACACAAGATTAGCAAAGTAAGCTATTGCAGACTAATTGGATTAGCACATTTACCATGAACTCACCTATTAAATGCGGAATAATCCGTTTCCAGCAGGCATGCCTTGGCGTTGAAATTGGTATAGTAACCATAAATAGGTTTTGGCGCATCCGATAAACGATCATGATTTAATTTGATTTCAGATAATTTATGCCAAAAGGTTGGATTTACAAAGGATTGTAATGGAGCATATTGTAGAACAACGTTGCTTGCCATCGTATATGCTTATTTTAGTTAAATTTTACTTTTACTTTAGATAACACTAAACTGATAAACTTATTTGCTCTCGCTTATCCAGACGTCGTCTAAGTGATTTTATCTCAAAGTGCTAATCAATGTACCTATGTGTGTAGTTCTCACCAACCAAAAACTTTGTTCTTTGTGTTTGCGCACGCAAGCGTATTTTCGTTGTTGTTTATTCTACTACAGTGTGCAATGCAAAATCCAGCCAAAATATAATATAATAACAAAATCGATATTGTATAGATAAAAAAAAGAAAAAAAATTGTATTGTAATCACAAATTCCAAATAACATAAACAGTGGAGTAAAAAAAAAGTCACCAGCTGACTGAAAGGAAAACAGCAGAGCGCTGCCACTTATTTGAAATTTAGATATTGTTGCGAAAATGCGAGGCGAATGTCAGATGAAAGAGAGAAGCCGATAACTAGTACGTTCTAGAAACGATAAAACAAGAACCTTCCATAGCGAACAATTCGATGCTTCTACGCTTTCGTCTGCGAGCAGCCGACTGCTATATAAGGGCGACACTCAGCTGCAAGAAGTCAGTCACAAAGTGAGCTCGTGGCGTTAACATCAGTTAAGTCGTTAAAGTGAACGCGTTGGGAATTACATCTAAGTAGAGTAAATTGTGAAAGTTGATGCAAGTGATTGTAGCTAGTAAAGTGTCTTATAATTGAATTGTGAATTACGGAGTAAATAAAGGACATTAGATCAAATCTTTATAACGAAAGAAACTGCAAATTAAGTTGGCGAGTTTTATTTAACAATCCAGAGATCGTACCCGAAGGATTTTGAAAATAATCGAGGTTGATTTAGTAAAATCGTAACAATATTTAACCCTTAAAATGACATAAATAAATGTCGTGGGCTTTTAAACGTGGTTCCAGTTCATTTGGTTGTTCAATTTGCTTGTATATGAATCTTGAGAATTGATTGAAAGAATGGGGTAAATGCAGATGTAAGAAGCTCTCTTTAATTTTGCATCTTGATCTTTAAGTATATTTTAAAGACCCGGGGTCTAAAAAGAAACCAGAGTGTGTTAATGAGATAGGAGAGGATACTCTAACAAGGAATTTATATTTATTACCGCCAAACAGTGTAATAAACCATATAATACTTCCGAGAGTGTGGGAATAAGGCATAAATGTGAGGTAACAAATCTGTCCTGAAATTGAGGTCATTGCCATAGAAGCTCTCGTTTATAAAATACTGTAGTTTTTAAATTTGTTAAGTATAAGTATATACATAAGTTCTCTTTAATTCGTATCCTATGTATGAAGAGAGCATACATCTTTTATAGGGACACTGAATCTAGCTAATGTGTTTCAAAGGCTTTTGATTTGCTGAGTATGTTGACTACTGAATTTATATTTCTTTGTCATTTAGTGTAAATTCTTTAACAAATATTTAAATAAGTATACATCACTTTATAAAACAGTATCATAATTTATTTAAAATTTAAGTAAAATATACATAAGTATGCAGATTATTTTATTAAAATCAATATAGTGTAATAATTGTATGCTAAATGAAATTAAAAATGTTAAAAAAAAACAGTCTTGCACAACTGTGGTTCATGAAATGCATGCTATAAAAGTTACATGTGTTACAATCTCCCCCGGTAGTTATAATGCAAATTTATTCTTTATAATCACATCTTTGCCATCAAATGTGATTTCATCAACAAATTGTTTCCTATTCACACGACAGAGTACGCCGCAACGTGTTGAGCCACAATTCTTGCATTCAAACCAACAACCTGGACACTTTTCATCCAAACAGTCACATATATCCATACCACTATGCCGCATATGACCGTATTCATCGTAAACTGTGGAACGTGAATTGGTGAGTTTTCTCTTCAATTTGCGCTTTTCACGATTTGATTTTTCTGGATCAAAATCCTCTAGGAACTTTAAATCTTCGGAGCGTTCCCGTAAGCGACGATCCGACTGTTGTTTGCGCGGTCGCTCACGTAGTGACATACGCAACGAGCCAACACCTTCAGTAAGATCATTATCTGCATCCATAATACCTAGAGTAGTAGTAGTTTTATTATTATTCTATAAATTAAAATTGTATTTATTTTCAGTATAAACAAATATTCGCACTGACGTTAAAATAAACTATTTTGTGACAGCAAAAGACAAACAGCTGTTAAGTGACACTTAGGGTTACCAGATAGTTAATTTATTTTTTATAACTTGCAACTGAGTGATTTGAGAGCATTAATTATTGGAGTGTCGCACAAGAAAGTGTGCTATATATATTGTTCTTTCCTGATATTGTTTATTGATTTATTTCATAAAATTTTACAAAATATTGGAACAATTAAGATATTAATCTTTATGTTAGCCTATAAAAAGTATTTAAACTACAAAAAAACTATTAGATCAAAATGTTATATATTTTTTTATTAAATATGAATCTAATTAGGAAGGAAAAATGTGCTAACCAATTTCTTTGGTTTGGTTTTGGCATAAGCCACCTGCAACACTTTCTAAAATTTCGTAAGCACTTAAGACTATTTTTATATTTTTGCTTTTATATTGTTTATTTGTATGCAGATACATTTTGTAAAATTAATTACAATATTTGTTACTTACACGCACACGTTCGGGTAGTTATCACCAAATTTAGCGGCTAAGGTGAATATAAAAATTCCAACGCGTTCATGAACATTACGAAAGCGTTGACTATTTCCAAAATGCCAATGCGTTGCTGTAAAACGTCATAACACATAAAGAGAAACAATAAACACGTAAATCATTTTTGAATATACGAACGCAATATTTTCTGAATCCTAATTTTTTATTGTTATTATTTTTTAATTAAATAAAATTTACAATCTAGGTATTTAATTAAAATATTTTGTAACTAAATACAAATGCATATGTAATATATTTGGATATTTTAATGATTTTACTTTTTTCTCCTTTTATAGGGTATATGTATGTATGTTTGTATTTTGAACTTGAAATATATTGCTTTAGAAAGAGCAATTTCTTATTTTCGCTTTTAATTGAAGTCTTTATTTACTATAGTTAAAATTATCCGAATTCTGTCAAATATGCACCGATTTGCTCCATACCTTTGGGCCATTTTGAAGGTAATGCCATTATGCCATTCCAATGGCGACCCTTGTTCTTATTGGCAAAAACTACGACAATCGATTTTCATAGACTTCTCTTCAACCAAATTATTCTCCATAGGCAGTGGATGCATAAGAACCTCCTAACCAAGCTTTCGGCGCTTCTGGCGAGTCATTAACGATATATGGGGTCCGGTGTTGTCGTGATGAAACAAAATTCCCCACCTGTTCACCAAAGCCGAGCGCTTCTTGGCGATTACTTCCTTCAGACGATCCAATCGCCGACAGTATAGCTTCGAATTAAATGTTTGTCCGTACGAAAGCAGCTCATAGTGGATGACTCCTTGCTAATCCCACCATACGCACAACAAAACCTTTCTGACCCCCAATTTTGGATTAGAAATCGTTTGTGCCACGGCTCACTGGCCACCGATCACGACCGTTTTCATTTGATCTTGCTGCAAGTGAAAAAAGTTGATTTGGTTACCGTTTAGCAGCGATTCGCAGATAGAAATATGGTCCATGACGTTTTTATCGTTAGCAAATGAGGTATCCAACGAGCTTCTTGATGTGTCCAGCCTTTATCAAGTTGTTTTTTGTGCAATGTAGACCCCCTCAATCGAGAGTTTTCGCAAGACGATAATAATCGGCGGTTTCCATTATTTTACTGTCATCAGTATCTGTGCCATAAACAATTTTCACTCCCTGATTTGCGTTTCCGTCTTTGTCAAAGAAAAATTGCAGAATATAACGAACTTTCTCTCGATCTTTGACACGCGCTCAAACACAACTGAGTTAAGTTATCAACGCTTCCCCCGTTAAAATATTTTAGTACAAAATATCATATTTCTAACGGCATATAACGTAATCCAATCTCAGTTTTAGAACAAGAAATCACTGAAGCCATTTGTTTTTTATATGGAGTTTGATTTAAGAATATTCTTTTTTATACAGAAATTTTTTTTAATTTTGTAATTTTTATAAATAAAAAATATATATACATATACATGCATGTGCCCCATTATCCCATTATCCATTATCCCCTGGAAAATTATATGCCTTTACTAAGTTGGTGCGGCTTAATGCTTTCAACATTGATCTTTCCTGTTTATAAAAGAAAGATAAGTATTTTAATCAAAATTCATGGCACCGAATAATTTTTATTATTATTATTATTATTTATTTTTTTTTTAACAAAATTCTTAGATATTTATTGAAGTAATTACCGGGTTCCGTGATAACACATTTTTACTATGAACCGGCTGTGAATTATGGTGTTCCCAGGCGCAGCTTTGATGTGATTCCGAACTTAACATGAAAGCTTTCTTGTAATTTTCTAAAATTTATTTTAATTCATAATAATTTATCGAAAATCATATCGACAACATTCAAATACTTTCACTGCAGTTTTGAGAGAAAGAAAATTTGCTAGATCACTCAAATAATTGGAAATTTAATTTCAGAATACAAACTATAGCTTAGGCTGCAACTACCCATTTCACTCACCAGCTGTCCATAACTGACGACGTCAGTAGTGAAATACACACACGAGTTATCGACGCCGCTGAGAGCGGAGAAATGTTGCCAGCTGCCTGTGTGTTTGCACACTTCTGAACAAATTCATAATTTTCGTCAACGAATTTCATGATTTATTTGCTTGAACATAAACACAAGGCAAATATACATGATCTATATGGTAACAAATAATTAGTTACGCATTTATTTTTCATTTCTTTTGAACAAAACTACGCATTATCTTCGATTATTTAATGTTGCTTTAAGAAAGGCTATACTGGCAACCTTGTATAGCAACGAAAAATGAGCCGAGCCGGTTTTACGGAAAAAATCAAAACTTGGTTGGTTTCTGCGGCACAAACGTCAGCAACGCTAAACTTTGTGTTTACATGGCGCTCTCATAAGATAGGTTACTATGGACGGCTGGTACGCGCGTTGGGTAGTTGCAGCCTTAGTGAGCGCAGACACAATTTATTTCTGTAATTATGTGAAATTAAATTTCAGAAATTTGTTACAGAGTGTTCACACGGCGAAATTTAAATTTTTTATCGAAAATAGAGTTGAGTGAAGCAAAAATTACTATGTCTGACTGCACCTTAAGTGTTGATGATGTCAAATAGTAATTTCACGTTTCACATTAGGTGGTTTATGGACAATCCTATTTCAGGCCATTTTCCCATCGTGGAGTCTAACGTGGCACTTCTAGTAACCCCACCCTCATGGATGACTATATTTTTATTTAAAAATATGTATTTTATTTTAAATTATAATAAATCATTTATTAAGCATCTACAGCCTGCTACCTTTTTTTAAATATTTGTTTCATTTGAGGAAAACTACGTAGTTTTGCTCTCAACTCCTCTCCCCGGTGGTACTGGCGTAGCATTCAAACTAACCTCTGCCGTCTCTTGGACGAATACAACTTTGATGCTAACGCCGGCCAATGCTCATATCTTTGCGCACATTCTCCGCAAATTCTGTAGAACTCAATCTAAAAATCATCTAGTTAGAAAAGCTATTACATAGCTGAACAGTATATAAAGGTTTTTGACAAGAAAAATAATGGAAGAATAAATCTACTATATTATAAATAAGGTTAAATCTAATTCTGCTCTGAACTTAGGGTTTAAGAAAGAATGTAGGATAAGAAAGCCATCTAAGTAGGAGTGACCTTTACGGGGGTTTCTTAGCAGTAGCAGAACCATATAAACCATCCTTTCTTCAGGGCGAATATCGTTCCAGGTTGTCAGCAAGCATAACGTTGGACGGTGGAAAAAGTGCAGACAAATCGACAAATCGACATGATCGACGAAAAATTGTTTCTTCGATATCGAACACATTTTTGAGTAAGGCTTTTGCTATGGAAATTTGCAAAGATATGTTTCTGGAGTTGAAGGATTTATCTTTCTCGAAGAGCTCTCACTGAATTGATTCACATTGGACAACATAGTGCTTGCCCTTCTTCCTTTGGATTGTCTACTAAAATCCAATAAAATTCATTATGCTTTACATATATTTATTACAGACATGACAATTGATTCTAGCTCTCGAATATGTGGTGTGTCTTGATGTTTTTCTAGCAAATGGAGGGACCTACAATTTATACTAAGCCGCCTCCGAACGGCTGATGGTTTTTTATGAGTAGCCTTTTCTTGTCAGAAACACACTTCGAGGGGTTGACATTTCCAGCCGAGGGGCGACCGTGTTAAGAAAAATTTACATAATGTTCTTATTTAAATTATTTTTCTATTATTTTGACCTGGACCAGTAATTGAGCCCAGATATAATAATATTATATATAATTGACGCTTTGTAACCGTTGAAGCGATTTGCCGCCGAGCTCCTCCTCCAATTTGTGGTTTTGCATCTTGATGTTTTTCCTCCGAACGGCTGATGGTTGTTTATGAGAAGCTTTATTTTCTGTCAGAAATACACTCGGGAATGTCAACCCCTATTCCCCGCCGATACTTTCCAATAATATCCCTTAATTATACGCTCAACTGATTTGTGACTAAGCTGCTTTTGCTGCATGCGCCGTGCGTCTAGAGTTTCAACCCGCTTCCTAACGACTAAATGATTTCTCGGACGTATTACCACTTCCTGCTAGAAGGAACTGCGTAAAGAAAAAAAGCTTTTTGGACTTATGCATAACTTTTGAGATATTGGTCTGACTGGTATGGAGTCACGACCAACTAGACAATACGGTGTTTTATTACGGCCACATATTATAATGGGCTTTCCAATACTTTGATATTCAAATATATTTTTCATTCAAAAAATCGACGATTCGTTGCTTGTGTGGCACGTAGCGCTGCTTTGCAGAAAGTGGACGTTGTCAAGATCAATGCCATCCCATTCTGGCCAAATCAAACCATAAACCGCATCAAACAGTTACACGTTGAGAATAGTGAGGGTTTTCAACAACAAATCTTGTTGGTCTTGGTTTTCCCAGCCCTAGATGCGACAGCTTTTCTTATTGAAGCAGCCATCGAGGTGGAAGTGGGCTTCATCAGTCAAATTGGTTTT